CTGGGACTTGGTTAGAAACGTGCTGTCTGAGGGCAGGTGTGATGACTTAATGGCTAAATCTTTGCTGTGCAAGTGCCAGAATCCTGTGTGGATGCCGGTTCATGTCCTGGCTGCACCACTTCCCATCCAGCTCCCTGCCTGTGGCCTGGGAAAGCAGTAGAGGATGGCCCAAAGCCTTGGGACCCTGCACCCACGTGGGAGACCCGGAAGAAGCTCCTGGCTCTGGGTTTCTTGGCTCAGCTTGGACTGTTGAGGCCACTTAGGGAATGAACCAGCAGATGGAAGATCTTTCTGTCTCTCCATAAATCTGATCTGCTTTTCCAATAATAACTAACTAAATCTTAAAGAAAGAAGTACAGACTGTCATGCCAGCCGCACACAGCAAGGCCCCCAGGTGATCTGCAGATTGCTGTAGAAGAGGCTGAGAGGCACTGGCTGGGGGGATGGGCAGGCAGCTTCACACTTACACCTGATTTTCAGACTGCTGTGCAAGTTCTCATAGACTTCATGGCTCAGTCAACAGTAACTGTTTCTTTTTGGTTCTTCACTCTGGGCATCCAACCAAGTTCAAGGTATTATTCCTCAGAGACCTTTCTCCTTGGCTCACAGATGGCCACCGTCTTCCTGCCTCTGCCTGCTGTCATGCCTGGATCCATCACCCTCTTTCTCATGAGGGCCACAGTGCACTGGATGTGGACCCCATCCTTAGCTTCGGCCCCTCTTGAAAGATCCTGGTTCTGAACTCAGTCACTTCTGAGGTGCTGGGATTAGGACATCTGTGCACACATCTGGGCTCGGGGAGGTGTGCTCCAGTCCACAACAGCGTTTTGAAGAGGATAGGATTGGAGTTGTGGCTAACAGGTTCAGCCTGCGATGCCACATCCCGTGTGGGTGCCAGCTCAAGCCCTGGCTCTTCCGCTTCCCAGTACCACTCCCTGCTGATGCACTGGGGAAGCTCTGTTGGACCTTCATCCTGCACCCTCATGCGAGACCTGGAGGAGGCTCCAGGTTTCTGGCTCAGCTGACCCAGCCCTGGACTCTCTTGTCTATTTCTCTCTGTCTCTCCCTCTGTAACTCTGCCTTTCGAATAAATAAAATAATGTTTAATAGAGAGAAAGAGACACTGGTACCCTGAGGAGCACGTGAGAGGCTGAAAACGAGAGTCAGGCCAGGGAACGGGCTGCTCCCGTGTCATCAAGCCTTGGCCAGCAGTGGCAGCCGTGAGCACTGCTACTGCTGGGACCGAAAGTGAGTGCTTGCCTGTGGGGCTTCAGCCCTGCTTCCACCCCTTCTGGAAACTTGGACCAATGCCAGGCCTCCGTGGCCTGCTTGAACACTAAAGGGCCGTGCCTCCCCAGGCAGGCGTGAGGATCCAGTGAGCAGGAAGTACAGAGTGCCAAGCCTGCCCGTCTCTCACCGTGCCCCCTGCCTCTCCTATTTTTCCAGCGACCAAAAATCTCCTCTTGAAATGCTCCGTTATGTTCCTGCAGGAGATTTGTAGCCGCATAGCGAGAAAACTCCCAAGGTTTAAACCTGTCACGGTGGCGTTGCAGGCATCAGCTAACAGCAGGTGCATGGGGTCTGTGTCACGTCAGGGAGCCCTCCCAGTTGCTGGGCGTGTGCCAGGCACTCCAAGGGAAAACACACCGCCGTGCCCTTCTGCTCTCGGTCCCTGGGGTTTCTCACTGCTAATAGGCTGTGTGCAATTTGATTTCATTGTGCTCTCAATGGTCCAGCCTGCACCCAGGGATGCGAGGTGGAGTTTCACAAATCAATTCCACTGTGCAAGCATGCAGGCGCCTGCTACCACAGGGCTGGGAAATGAGTGTGTTAAGGCAATGATTGTAATTTGCCTTTGGGGTCAAACTGGGAGTGGAATCCAGAATTGTGTTCCAGCACTTCTCTTCGGTTGATGTGTCTTTGGAACACACTCGTGGAAACGTGATGGGAAGATGGGGAGCGGGGCTTCTTTCCGTGCTCAGAGAGGATCTGGGGCGTACCTCTGCACTAGCGGTTGGGTGCAGGAAACAGGTTTATGCTGAGGAGGGCAGTAGCGGGGCAGTCTTCTCCAACGCAGGGACTCTGTCGTTCAGCCCCTTGTCTCTTAGAGGGACTGCTTGCTTCAAATCCTGTTCCCACTGCCTGATCTCCTCGGGGTGTCCCGTCCATTTCGGGGTCACCTGGAAGCAGGTGTTTTTGAATATAGACCCTGCCCTGGCTCCGGGGCCAGATCACTTAGAGGTAAAGCCATGCAGTTCCTACAGTTCCCAGCCCCTCTGCTCCCCTCTGGCTTTCTGCTGTGTCAGTCCTCCCTCAGTCTCTTCTTTCACCCATGAGCCTGCCAGGGTCCCATGAGAGGAGAGCAGTGACCCCCGGAGTCCTCTGGGGCAGATACAAGTCGTTTCTGCCTCTGGGCTGCTGTCTAGCTGCTGCCCACTATGGCTGTCTGTACCCTCCGCCCCAGCTCCTCTGCAACCTGCGCCCATCTCTGCCCTGCAGACCCCCGACCCCTACACACAATGCTGTTCACCCTTGTTGGCTGGGCCCTGGTCCCAGGGTCTCCTGCAATGACAAGGGTGTTTGCTTGGCCACATTTTAGGTAGCTCCTGAACCCTCTCTTGGGCATACCTTGCAAAAATCAAAAATACCTTGTGCCTGCTTGCGAAATCCAGCATTAGCCAAAGAACCCTGCTGAGTGACTTTCGGGAGAGACCCGGCCCCTCCTTCATTCCCACTCACCATAGACACTGAATTGAGTTTCTCGGCCTCCGCTGGTCCCCAGGAGAGGTCTGGGCGCCCTGGCCTGTCTTTACTCAGAATCCCGTCCAGGGGAGTTGTCCAGAAGTCCCCTCATCACTGAGGTTTCTTCTTGGTAAGTTTCCATCCCTGGCTCCCCAGGCCTGTAAATTCCCACTCATCCTTGCTGTCTTCAGAGCTGGGCCCGGCCCGTCCCCCATGGCCAATCTCATTGTTGCAGCCCTAGCACCTGTTACCGGGATCCTGACTAAGACCTCCCTTACTCTGCTTTTGCAAGCACCATCGGAAAATTCTTTAATCTGTTACACTAATTCATAGGAAGGAGTGAACAGTTCATCATTGCTTCTTTCTGGAGTCGTTTTGTTAGAACGAGCAGCCAATGTAAAAGAAACTTGGAAGGTAGGAAATTGAGACCCAGTGAAGGGCTCCCGGGCATGCGGGTCTCAGCGGGGGTGGATCCTGGGTCTGTGCCAACCTGCAAAGGCTCAAGGTCACTGCCACCTCCTTGTCATCAGCCCTGTGGGTGGGGAGCTGCAGGTCAAGGTTCCTGCTGTCCATGGCAAGCGTCTGTCCACATCAGCAGGACTGAATGGGGACTCAAACACTGAACAAATGGCTGTAATTAACTGAGGCCCATGTCCGAGTCAAATGGGATCTCTTCACTGAACCATGAACCAAATTCATGATCCTCTCTGCCCCTAGTTGGCCATTTTGACCCAGAAAGGAGCCCAACGAAGAGTTCTCTGAAACGTGGAGCTGTGCTAGCAGGCCGCGTCTGAGCCACCCAGTGAGCTCACGCGTCCACTCTGGACGCCGGGACACGGAGGTCCTGACACTGGTGGCTAGCTCAAGTCACTCGGCATCCCTCGTGGCCCATGTCCGACCCTTTCCTCTGGTGACCCTTCACTGTTCTGCTGCTCCATGGGTCTCCTAGCCTGGAACTTGGAGGGACCGTGCACACTGTGTTACCCACGAGCTGGGGAGCTGGTGATCCGGGCAAGGGCAGCATGGTGGCTTTGGTTCTTACCGTCTTACCCTGCCTGCTGCAGCCCTGGGAGACCAGGCGGGGAGCTTTCCGTGAGAGTATGACCCGTGTGTGTTTTAGGATTTCTAATAGGGCCGTTGTTGTCTGAATCATTTCAAATTGACCTTTCAAAGACGGCAGCGATGTTCACCTGAAACGCTGGCCCTAAGCTGAAAGAGATCTTGGCTGTCCCCGCCTTGGCAGAGGGGAGCTGGAGACAGTGTGTGGGCTGTGGGCGTTTAACGGGTGGAGGCCACGGCCACTGCAAAGCTGTGCCTGGGCCAGCCGCACACAGCCATAGATTCTCTGGTGTCAAAATGGAGAAATGCCAGGGGTGGGAACCTTTTCGTTTTTCTTTATTTTCTTTCTTCTTTTTTTTTTCTTCTTTCTGTCTGTGTTCCTTCCTTTCTTCTTTATTTCTTTTTTCTTTCTTTCCTCCTTTTTTTAAAAAAAATTTTTTTTAAAGATTTATTGGAAAGGCGGATTTACAGAGAGGAGAGACTGAAAAAGGAAGAGCTTCTATCTGTTGGTTCATTCAAGTGGCCACAACAGCTGGAGCTGAGCTTATCTGAAGCCAGGAGCCAGGAACTTCCTCTGGGTCTCCCATGCGTGTGCAGGATCCCAAGGCTTTGGGCCGTCCTCTACTGCTTTCCCAGGCCACAAGCAGGGAGCTGGATGGGAAGTGGAAGAGTTGGGATGTGAGCTGGCACTCATATGAGATCCCAACACAGGTAAGGCGAGGATTTAGCCACCAGGCTATGGCACCAGGCCCTGTATTTATTTCTCTCTCTCTCTGTTTCTCTCTCTCCATCCCTCCCTCCTTCCCTTTCTTCCTTTCTTGCAAGGGAGGAATTAGCATTAGCCTATTAAGCTATTGCACCACCCCCACATCCCGTGTTTCTTACTGTCATGGTGGGTGTACCTGTTACCTTGCACCGGCTTCACTTCCTGTGGCATCCTGGGTGGTGGTCCTGATCGTCACATTGTCTCCTTGGTGGCTGTCACACAGGGCTGCAGAGGGGGCACTAACCCGGGCTTTACCTGACCCATCCTGGTTTCTCCCTGAAGGTGAACTGGGGCAGGACGACTTGTCTGGCTGGTTGGAAGATGCCGGCGGGGCCCTGTTGCTTTGTAGCTCAGGCCCAGGCATCACAGCCTCGTCATCAAAAGGCCTTTATGAAGCGCTCCAGTGAATATGTCCTTGTGCTGGGCTGGGCTGGGCTGGGTGGTGGTGGGGGCAGGGAGCTCCTGCAGGAATCTCCCCCACCAGCCCCTGACATCTGGGGTTTGTTGGCTCAGATAGGCAGCATCTATGTCAACCAACCACGAGGGCATCCACAGACTGGGCAGTGGGCCCCAGGCAGAGGGTGTGCACACGGAATCCTAGGCAATGTTCATGCCAAGAGTAAGGGCCTCTGGGAACACAGGGCCACGCTATGGTGTCCTACTTGGGGTTCTAGGAACTCCTGGGAGAGAGGAGGGAGGGAGGTGGCCGGCAGGCAAAGGACCTGATCAGGTGTTCCAGGCTTGCTGTGCCTAGGCAGGGAGACGGCACGAAAGATGCACCTGCCCTTTGCGGCTTTCCGTCTCACCTCTCCGCCTGCTCTGCTTCCCTCTGTAGGTGTTCCATGAGCGGGGCATACTCTTTGGCTACCGGCACCCGCAGAGTTCCGCCACTGCCTGCATCCTCAGTCTCTTCCAAATGACCAATGAGACCCTCAACATCTGGACCCACTTGCTACCCTTCTGGTACCTGCCAGCCCCGTCAGGAGCTCCAGGGATGCGGCTGTGGTTGGGAGGGCTCAGCTGGGCCTGGCGAGTCCCGTTCCCTCTCCTCTCTATGTGGGCATGCATGGCAGGGCGGGCAGAACCTGAGTGTGTGCCGTAGAACATGGGGTGGGTGGTAGGCCCCACGGTCTCCCATGGCACTGCTGCCCTCTGGTGCCCTCGCCACCTCTGGTGCCTTCCTTGATGGGTGTTACCTCCACCTGCCTCTGGCTTAGGGGCGCTTCTGGAAGTCCTGGCTTCAGTGGGTCAGCTGCCCTCTCTGGGCCTCCACAGGCAGGCCTGCCGGTTGCATTTTTTGCCAGCGCTGCCGTTGTAAAGGCTCAGCATCCCAAGCTCTGGCCCATCCAAGCTGGCAGGACTCAGAGAGGCCTGTGTTGGCTGGCTGGGATGTAACCCGGAGGCGAAGCAGCTTGCAGAGCCTGGGTTTGGGGTTCTCTTTCCCAATCATTGCCAGAAGCCATGGGAGTAGAAGGACCCCAGAGTCTCAGCAGGCAATGGACCCAGACAAGAGGTGGATGTCGTTATTAACCTGTTTGTCCATCCTGCCTTGCTGCCTGCACAGCTGTCCCAGCACATGCAAGCGAGAACACACAGGACTTGGGGACCCCAGGGCCAGGAAGGGCAGCCAGCATATCCAGGTGCAGAGAGGAGGGGGAGAGCAGTGCTTGGCTGCAGAGCGTCAGTGGGCTGCGCTGGGTTGCAGGTTCTTTGCGTGGAGGTTTACAACGGCACTGTATGGGACCGACATCCAGAACGACAGCTACTCGTGGCCAATGCTCGTGTACATGGGCACCAGCTGCGTGTACCCCCTTGCGTCCAGCTGTGCGCACACCTTCAGCTCCATGTCTAGGAATGCCCGGCACATCTGCTACTTCCTGGACTACGGCGCTGTCAACCTCTTCAGCCTGGGTACGTGGCGCCTTGCTCCTGCCTGCCCTCCGCGCGGCCCTGCCGCCTGTCTCACCTTGTAATCTACTTTCCATGAGCTTTTTGGAGTCCCTGCGCGAGCACACACACTATCCTCCTCCTTCACGCCACCTGCACCCCCACTGCCCTGTTGGGTGATTCCCCCACCCCTGTTCCCTGAAGCTGGGGGCTGAGACCCTCTCTCCCTGACCGTGAAAGTCCGTGCAGGCTTCAGGCACCCTCGCTCCTGAGCTGGCTCGCCGTGCCCTGATGCCGGAGCTGTGCCCTGACCTCACACCGCCTCTGTCTCTACCCCCAATTACTCTTCATCACTGTCTACCATGCCTCAGCCCCTTGCTCGGCTCTCCTCGGGGGTGGGCCAGCTGACCCGGTCCCTGGCCTTTCCTCTCAGTCCTGCTCCCTGATGACCCGCTGCAAGCATGCCATCGCCTCACAGCTTTGCACAAACCTCATCTCTAAAACACGTGTCACCTGATACCTGTGCCACCTGCAGGTCCAGAGACGGGGCTGTGCGCATCTCCTCCCAGCCGGGCCCCCACATGTGCTCCCTTCCCAGAGGGCCCCTCCCCTGGTGGATGGTGCCCCTTCCCGCTCAATAACTGGTCAGGTCTCTGTAAATAACCCCCAAGTGTCCCCATACTCTGTCCCAGCTAATCAGCTGTCACATTTAGCTGAGTGTCTTGCCTTCATGTGCTTGTAACTGCTCTACCCCCATACCCCGAATCTTGGCCCAGATTCCAGGTTTCTCATCTGCACATGATCATAGCACCTTCTAAAGGCTTGCTTTTTTAAAATAGTTTTCTTTTATTTTAAAGTTAAAATTAGGGCCCGGCATGATAGCCTAATGATGAGAGTCCTCACGTTGAACACGCCGGGATCCCATATGAGCACTGATTCTAATCCCAGCTGCACCACTTCCCATCCAGCTCCCTGCTTGTGGCCTGGGAAAGCAGTCAAGGACAGCCCAAAGCCTTGGGACCCTGCACCCGTGTAGAAGACCCAGAGAAAGCTCCTGGCTCCTGGCTTCGGATCAGTTCATCTCCAGCAGTTGTGGCCGCTTGTGGAGTGAATCAGCGGATGGAAGATCTTCCTTTCTTTGTCTCCTCTCTGTATATCTGACTTTCCAATGAAAATACATAAAAGCTTTAAAAAGAAGAAGAAGAAAGTTAAAATTACACAAACACAGGGGCAGTGGAGTTGGGAGGCAGCTCCTCTCCACTGATTGAATTGCCCTGATGGCCACAGTGGCCAGGGCTGTGCCGAGCAGAAGCCAGGAGTCCAAGGCTTCCTCCGGATCTCCCAATTGGGTTGCAAGCGCCCAAGCACTGTGACTGTCTTCCACAGCTTTCCTAAGAGCATTGGCAGGGAGCTGGATGGGAAATGGAGCAGCTGGGTGTTGACTGGTACTCATGTGGAATGCTGGTGTTGCAGGGTTAGGTTAGGGAATGCTGGAGTTGCCTAACTTGCTACTCCACAGCCTCTGCCCCCAGCACCTTCTCTGCTCCACCCAGCCGCCTGGGAGAGGCTTCTACAACACCTCCTCGAAATGTACCTCTCGCTTGCAGCCTCCCAGGGCTTCTGATCACCTGAGATGAAGTAATGAGCCTTTAGCCACATGGTGGCCTCCCTGGCCTTGGTCACTTGCCTTGCACTTGATGGTAATGAGTCGGTGCCATGCAGTAACCCTGTGTGGCCGGCCGAGGGCGCCCTGCAGTGAGCGCTGTGTGTGGGAGAGAGGCTGTGGGGGCTGTGGGTGTGCACAGGGGACCCCAGGGCGCATCCCAGGAGGGTCACGACCCAGAGGCTGGGGGATGCTGGGAGGACATCCTCCCCAGGGCTGCACATGACGCTAGGCCAGGCTGCTTTCCTAAAGCCGGTCTCCCTCTGCAGGCTCAGCCATCGCCTACTCGGCATATGCATTTCCTGACGCGCTGCTGTGTACCACCTTCCATGACTACTTCGTGACCATGGCCGTGTTCAACACCATCCTTAGCACCGGCCTCTCCTGCTACTCCAGGTACCCGGAGCTGGAGAGGGGGCGGGGCATGCAGTACAGGGACCTGTGTGGGGACAGTGGATGGGGCGACTCCGTGGGAAGGGTGCTGGAAACTTGGGACTCAACACAAGATGGATTTGCTGTGACCAGGCAGGATGGACATCACGGGCGTCAGGATGGACTCAGGGCCCCAGGCACTCCTTGAACTCTGTTCATCTCTCAGATGGCGTCGATACATCTACCTTGTGAGGCGGATGTAAGAGTTACAGGTCAAGCATCCACAATGCCTTCCCAGAGCCTGACCCAGAGGAGACCCCCCCCCCCAAAAGGCAGTGTGTTGCTGACAGTGCCTGGGGACACCTGCCTGCAGTGTGGGACATTCCAGTGTGCTCCGTACCGCCCAAGGCCCAGCGCTCATGGCTCATCGGCCTTGAGTGTGAAGGGCAGACACCTGCACTGGGGTGTGGGGCTCTTCATTCAGTTCCCTAAGTCACTCGGGATGGGGGTGCTCCCAGGTGGGGGTGTCAGGTGACAGCACTGCCTAGACCATGCCAAGGGAATGGGGCCTTTCTGACAGGCAGGAGAGGCTGGCCATCACGCTGTGTTCTGAATGTCCCCAGCAGCCATCTCCCAAGCCCTGGTGTGTGTCACCGCGCTCAGCAGCCTGGGTGAGCTCAGGGAGGGGGAGGGGCGTCCCTGCCCCCACCCGCCTTTGGGACAAGGTGAGTTTATATTGGAAAGGCAGATTTACAGAGAGAAGGAGAGACAGAGAGAAGGTCTTCCATACACTGGCTTACTCCCCAAGTGGCCACAAAGGCTGGAGCTGAGCCAATCCGAAGCCAGGAGCCAGGGCCTTATTTCAGAATTTCCATGTGGGTACAGGGGCCCAAGGACTTAAGCCATCCTCTGCTGCTTTCTCAGGCTTCAAACAGGGAGTTGGATGGGAAGTGGAGCAGCCAGGACTTGAACCGGCGCCCATATGAGATACTGGTGCCTCAGGTGAAGGCTTAGCATGCTATGTCATGACACCGGCCCTAACAAGAGGCAGGGTTTTAAAAATATAGAAGAGGAACTGGTGTTGTGGGTAGAGCAGGTAAGGCCAACACCGTATGGGAGGCAGTTTGTGTTCCGGCAACAACAGGAGATGGCCCATGTGCCTGAATCCCTATCCCCGGGGGGAGACCTAGATGAGGCTTCAGGCTCCTGGCTTCAGCCTGGCTCTGCCCTGAACCTTGCAGCCATCTGGGGAGCAGGCCAGTGAATAGAAAATCTCCCTTTCTCTCTCTCTCTCTCCCTCTCTGGTCTGATTTTCAAATAAATCCCTTTAAAATATAAAGGTACAAAAATCTATTTTTATTTCATATATCTATTTTATTTAGTGTTTGGAAAAGAGAGAGACTCTTCCATCTGCTTATTAACTCCCCAAATGGCTGCAACAGCTGGGGCTGGGGCTGGGCCGGGCGCTGAAGCCGGAAGCCTGGGGCTCTGTGCAGGGACTCAAGCACTGGGGCCACCGTCTGCTGCTTTCCCAGGCGCATTAGCAGCGAGCTGGATATGAAGTGGAGCAGCCAGAATCCAAATTACAGCATGCTGGTATCCAACTTTACCTGGCCCAACCCCACCCCAAACCTAACAGTTTCAGGATGTCTGTCCCAGCGTGTTTTCTTGAGCCAGTTTGGGCTAGAGGCACAGGGTTCCTTTCTGTGGCAGTGAGTGTCTCATCCGTTGGGATGGGAGGACATCACGGCCTTCCCCTTACTGAAAGCTGTCCGCCAGTGGGGGCAGAGTGCCCAGTGCTGGGTCAGAAGCTGAAGGATTGAGCAGGTCCCTGCCTGGGTGGGGAGGGAGGGCAAGGCATAGCTCTGAGAGAGAGTTTACCACGATGCCCCAGGTGGCCAACAGGGCAGGAAGCATGGTCTGTGGGTCCAGTGCCCGGATGAATGGGCTCAGGCCCAGCCTGGGCTGGGAAAAGCTGTCCACACTTGCCACTGTGCCGTGACCGTCACCGTTCCTGTCTGGCGGGCTCCTCCATGGCCGAGTGGCTGTGCTGGGAATTTAAGAAGCAAGGGAGGCAGGCACTGGGGGGCTGAGGCTCAAAGAAGGCTTTGTAGGGTATGGGTGAATCAGTCCCCAGGGTCATTCATGGGGACCCAGAAGGCGAGGTCTGGAAATAATTGCTGCTTCCCCACCTCCGCCCCTCGTGGCCCCAAGCATCAGATGGGAGCCGCTAGGGGGCCGAGCCTTCGAGACAGGAGCCCCCGTGTTCAGACCCAGTGCATGCGTGCTTTGGAGGCGGCACCCTGGGTGCGTGTGGGTGGGCTTCTCTCATCTGTTGTTGACATGGGTCATTTCTGTTTACGTATGCTGTGTGTCTGTGGCTCTTCCTGCCACCCACCCAGCCAGCATTCCTTTCCCGCCTGCCAGGCCCAGGTGTCGTGTTAAAGGCTGGGCATGCAGGAGGAGTAAGGTGCAGCCCTGGGCCCCATGAAACGCCCCATGTGGCAGAGGAGGCTGGACCAGGAAGCCCAGGACAGAGCCCCTGGCTGCCTTCAGTGCACCTGTCAGAGTGCAGTGGCAGTGCCCTGGGAGGTGGCCTCAGGAGCAGGTAGGGAGGGACAATTGGCACTGTAGTTGGCACTTGGGAAGGGTCTGGGAAGAGGCAGGAGGGCACAGAGAACAGCCTGGCCAAGGACGCGGGCACCAGAGAGAAGGTGGGTGGGCAGAAGCAGTACAGAGCTGGAGTCGCCAAGAACCTGCAAGAGGAGTGGGCAGTGGCCAGGGAGGGTGGAGGCCCGGCTGGGCGCTGAGATGCTTTGGGATGCCTTTGCTGGGAGGAGACAACCAGGGACTCCCTCAGGCTGCCAGGCCGTGGGGGGCTTCCAGCCACAGTGGGGGGACATCGCAGGAGGGTGAGTGTTCTTAGGCCCGGGGCTGATGTGGGGAGGGGCTGGGTCTCAGGCACTGCAGGCTCCTTTGGCTCCGTGCCAGCTTCCCCTCCTCCCTGGCAGGTGGCTCCCCTGCTCTTCCTCTGCCCTGGATGTCCGGGCTAAGGGGTGTGGGGGTAATGAGGTCAGTGTTGCTCTACTGGGGACTTACTGTGTGGCCTCAGGCCAAGCCCTGTGTCTCCTGGGCTTCTGTCTGACAAGGGTCTCTGGGAAGTGGAGTGAGGGGAGGGACTAGGATGGGTGCCCCTCGCCCTCACAGTGGCCCTGGGTGTTAGACTCTGGGTTACTCACACGCGTGGAAGTTGGTTGTGATTTCAGTGGCACGTGTTACACGACTTGACAGACCGTGAAGACTGGTCTCAACACAGAACACTCCGTAGTCGCAGGCGGAATTTGTTCCAATATACAAGTTCCAGAAAACTGCCGGCCTCATACCGGAGCATCTGAGAGGGGGGTGGGAGTATGCGTGCCTGCCCTGGGAGCCAAGGGGGCTGGCCGAGGCCCCAAGCTGGGCCTGCTCCTGCTTGTTGGCCCGGGACAGCCCAGCAAGGAGGCCTCATGTCCCTTAGGAACTGGGGTTGTGCAGTCTCTCTGGCACTTCGAGCTGTTGGCTTCCGACCCCAGCTGCTCAGGGAGCTGCACCATGGTCGGTGCTGGGGCTGGAAGATAAGCCCAATGTCCAGGGAGAGGTAGTTGTGATGTCCCTGCAATCTGGGGGGTGGGGTACTGAGCCGGCCTGAAGCGGGGCTGGAGTCCCAGTGGTCATAGAGATTCTGTCAGACCCCAAAGTGCGGCTGTGGCCTGGGGCCAGCGCCCAGGGGCACCCACCTTGCTATGCTTCTCTAAAACAGGACACTACCCACTCCTGATGGCAAAAATCACCCCCTGCCACACACACGGGCACAACTCTGCAAGGCAGAGATTTCCCCAAAGGCCTGCACTTTTTCCAAACCCCAGTCTGGCTGCAGCAGCGGATTGAGCAGGTTTTAGGGGCACCCGCTGTGTCCTTCCCGATGCAGTCACTGGCTCGGGGAGCAGGCTGTGCTGCCCGGGACTCTCTGGCTGGGGCGACACCCTGCGGCCAGGGGTGAGATTGCACCTCGATGCTGGGAGACAACCTTGATGGCTTTGCTGCCTTGATGGCTTTGCTGCGGTCTCCCTGTTCTGCTTTCTTCTCTCCTTCTTCTTTCTTGTAGGCTCAGGCTGCTCTGTTTGCTTCCTGGGGCGAAATGTTATCTCAGATCACAGGAAATCCATGCTTTGGGGAATGGCCCTGGTCAGTCAGAGCCAGATTCCTTCACTTACAAGTGGCCACGAGGAGTGCACTTTCAGAGTTAGCCTGGGCTAAAGCCTAGACGTGGTAGGTGTGGGCAGCGCCCGCTGTCGGACAGAGCAGACAGGCAGTTATCTCTGACTCTTGGAGTCGTGTGAGTGCCACAAAGCCAGGGCAGGCAGACAGGAGGGGGGCGTGTGAAACATGGGAGCCAGATAGCATTGCATTCCAGTCCAGTATTTGCCTCTCATTGGCTCGTCGGACCTAAGGCCAGTCACCCAGAAACTGTTTGTTCTCTGCTGCTCATGTTTTCTGGTTCAACAAGGCTCCAAGACAAGAGGGGCATAAGAGAAGCGCATGCACCCCGCATGTGTTAGAATCTAGCATTTACTCAGACTGCGTCTGGGCGTGGCACTGTTCCGAGTCGCTGGCATGCCTCATTTCGTCAAACCCTTGCACGGGCAACGTTTACTGTCCTCGTCACACACGGAGGTGATGTGACCTCCTGCAAGGATTCGAACCCACATCAACATTTACACGCTGGGGCGTGCGTGAGGTCTCATCCCAGCCTGTGGCTGCTGTCTAGGAAATGGTGCATTGTGGTCCCTGGATTCTCTCTTCCTCTTGCATCTCCACGTGCCTCGTCTGATGCACGGGCAGGGCCGAGCAGAGGAGGGGAGGCTGGGGCAGGTGGGGCTTTGTCCCGAAGGCCCGCAGCAGGCCCTCCCTGCCCGACAGCACAGACGTTCTTGATGCTGTTGGTGCACAGCTGCCCCCAAGGACTGGGCAGAACACAGTAGACTGGAGGACATGCTTGTCCTCGGACCCACTTCTGGCTTGGGATGGTCCAGACCCACACAGTCCAGCGTCTGCCCTTGAGCAGGGTTCTCCAGCTGCCAGAGCCTTTCTCGCAGTTGCCAGTCATTTGGTGGCATTGCCTTCTAAGATACATGCACAACCTGGCCTGGGGGAAGGAGGGTCAGAGAGAGCAGTGGATGGTATGTGCCAGGGGCAGAGGGCAGGCTAGAAGCAGAGGCGGGGGGCCGGGACAGGACCCAGTGCTGCCTGAGAGCATGGCGTGGGGCGGAACCATCAGCACTACCTGACATGCCCAGTGCTTTCATTGCTCCTGCCACAGACACCACAGCGGCTCGGGCAGCCTCAGCTCCGGGGCTCTGCCTGCAGCCCCTTGGCCCATGGGAGCCCGCAGCCCTACACAACACACTGCGATGTTTAAGGGGGCCCTGACCTCGTAGCCTGGCCAGGGCATGTGCACGTCTGCCCCGAGCCTCTGCTCAGGGCTGGGTCCGTGTCCTTCCAGCATCCTGACTCTCCAAGCCAGTTTGGTTGTGGTCTGTGTGGGGGAGCTGCTGTTGTCCTGATGGCATGGCTGGTTTGAATGCTGCTCTGCTGGGCATGGTGCAGGGGGAGGGAAAGGCTGGGGTCCCTGTGTGTACATAGAATGTAGCCACCTTGCCAGGGGTCATGCGCCTGGACTGCAACCTGCATGATGAATGCTCCATGCCAACCAGCTGGGGTATCTTCACTGCTGTACAGAGGGGTCTAGGGGGTTCTGTGCCCCCAGATCTCCATCCCCCATGCCCCTGTGCTCATGGTGATTATAAGAACTTTTAAAAATTAAGTTCTGTGTGGGGGACCCAGAGGAAGCTCCTGGCTCCTGATTTCAGATGGACTCAGCTCTGGCCATTGTGGCCATTTGGGGAGTGAACCAGCAGATGGTAGATCTTTTCTGTATCTCTCTGTAAATCTGCATTTCCAATGAAAATAAAGTCTTTTAAAATATATGCATTTATTTGCAAGGCATCTTGAAAGAGAGCAAAAGAGAGAGAATATTCATATTCTACCCCTTGGTTCACTCCGCAAATGACCACAATAACCCGGGCTGGGGCCAGGCTGAAGCCAGGAGCCTGGAATTCCATCTGGGTCACCCACATGGGCACCCCTAGGCTACTTTCTGCTGTTTTCCCAGACTCAGGATGCCAGATTGAAAGCCCAGCAACCAGGACTTGAACAGATCCTCTGATAGAAAATGACAGCCAGCAGTGGCTGAACCGACTGCACCAGAACTGGATGTGTTAAAGGCTTATGGCACTTGAATAACTTGGGCCCTGAAGGGTCCCACCTGGCCCCTCCTCCCAGGCTTGTCCCGCACCCCACTGCTCTCATGTAGCAGAGAGAATTTCCTGGCAAGTCTTGCTTCAGAGTTGGGAGTTCTCTTCCAGCAGGAGGGGAAAATGCAAGGGCTGGTGGACAGGTGCTGACTGCCGGGCCCCGGGTGTTCCTGGCACACGTGTGTGTGTGTGTGTGTGTGGTAAAATCTTCTCACTCCCATTTCTTCTCTCACCCTGGGTTTAGGTTTCTTGAAATCCAGAATCCAGGGCTCTGCAAGATGCTTCGCATCCTGGCCTTTGCCTACCCTTACACCTGGGACTCCCTCCCCATCTTCTACAGGGTAAGGGCCGGCTGCACCCCCTCCTTGCCCGTCAGAGTACAGGGCACCCCAGGACACATGGGTGCGGCCTCAAGGGCTCTTGTGAGGTGATTTGAGGTTGGCTCCTGCAAGGGGGCTGCCGGGCAGTGTGACGGGGACCTAGGGGAGCCAGGCAGGGCGGGCAGCCAGGGCCTGCAGTTAGCAGGAGCGTGGACTCTGGAGGCGAGCTAACACTCACTGTCCCATCCTCGGACAGCTCCTCTGGGCCTTGCTTCTCTTGCCCTGCACAAGGACAATGCCCCTGGTCAGGCTGTTGAGCACAGGAGTCCATGAGACACTCGTTAGGTATGGCCGAAGGCTCTAGTCTTAAAGGCAGTATTTGTTGTCAGCAGCCTATGCGTTGGCTGGGACAGCAACGAAGCTGGGAATTAGACGGAGAGCGCAAAGGAACAGGGCTGTTGGAGGGACGGCAAGAATAAGAAGGGCCAAGTCCTTGGGAATCAGATGGGCCCAAGTTCAAGGTGCCTCTGCTCCCTGGCTGTGTGGCCTCAGGCAGTGCACATGACTCCTCTGTGCTACCCCTTTCTTTAGCCCAGGAGGCTGGAATCCCTTGCCTTCACAGCAATGAACTCAGCAACACCAGGGAGCAGAGTTCCTCCTCTTGACTCCTGTGTAACAGGTGGCATGGGGAGCTGCGTGGTCAGAGCGCCACCTGTCGGCTGGAGCAGTCCCAAGAGTTCTGGGCGCCACCTGTCGGTGTGGGTCTGGGGAGACTCAGAGATGGGAGTGCCGCCCACTCCCCTCCTTTGGGGAGTAGTTCACAACTTCTCGGGAGGAGGAGTGTCCCTGTCACTGATCAGAGGGACTCGGTGCCACCACAGTGCTCAGAGGAGGTTCCCTCAACCTGTGCGAGCCACCTCTGTTACTGCAACTGTAGCAAAACCAGGCTGGCCTCCAGGGCGGTGCCAAGAACACAGTTACTGCCGTCTGGCGGCCAGGGCGCCTTCGCTGGCCCTGATGTGGTTGTTCGTGTCCCGGCCCAGCAGGCGTGCTGATCAGAGGGGGGTGCTCTGTGAGCGGCTCTGCCTGCGAGTGCAGTTTATCTTGGAGAGAGGCCTTGCAGGGTCACTTTCAGAGCAATGACCACCGCACCCTCGGGAGTTCCCCCGTGGCAGCCACTGACCCGGGGACATGGAGCCCTGGCCTGTATGTGCCAAGGTGTGTGGGTGACAGGTGGGTTATGGAGGAGGGCTGCCCACTGCTGCCTCCCTCTCGTGACGTGCCCTTTCTTGCCATCCCTGCAGCTCTTCCTGTTTCCAGGGGAGAGTGACCAGAACGAAGCCACCCTGTACCACCAGAAGCACACAGTCATGACCCTGCTGGCCTCTTTCTTATACTCCGCACACCTGCCCGAGCGCCTGGCCCCTGGACGCTTCGACTACATCGGTGAGTGGCTGATGCCCGTGGCAAGCGGCCGTGTCGTGGACCACAGGACAAGCAGCTGCAAAGGGCAGGCAGTGAGGGAGGGGGAACAGGACTAGAAGCCACTCTTGAGGAAGCTGTCCAGGTAGGAGCCAAAGTGTGTGATGTGGCAAGGTGACAGACTCAGGGCCCATCTCAGGGCCAGGTAGGGGCAGGGAGCGGAGGTAGGCTCAGGTCTGCGTGCTCATGGCTGTGGGCTGGAGTGTCCTGTTGCTATTTAGAATGTGGGATTCCATTTTTTAAAAATGGTTTTACTTGATTTGTTTGAAGGGCCGTCAGAGGGAGAAAGAGAGGGAGAAGAGGGGTTGGAGATGGAAAAAAATCTTCTATTTACAAGTTCACTCCCTAAATAACCACAGTGGTTGGGGCTGGGTGGGCCAAAGCCAGGAGCTCCTTCCGGGTCTCCTGTGCAGGTGCAGGGGCCCTGCTGCTTTCCCAGGTGCATTAGCGGGGGGGCTGAATGGGAAGTAGAGCAGCTGGGACTCAAACCAGCACCCATATGAGGCGCTGGTGCTGCAGGCTGAAACTTAATCTACTATGCCACGGCATCAGATCCAGGGGATTCCACTGTTACATGAGGTCTGGTGGGGGGGGCAGGGCAGCCGTACATGGCTTCTGTTCAAGTCTGAGTGAGAGTTCCTTATGTGAGTACTAAGGAGAGCCAGGCGGCCGGACAGGGGCTCTGTCACGTGGGTACCCTGTGCTTCCCAGCCCCACTCTGCCCTTGGTTCCACCCTTCTTCCTACCCGGGGATGTGGACAGGTCAGCTTTATTTAATCAGATCAGCCTTTCATTGCCACCTGCCAGAGAGCTTCCAACCGGCAAGCTGCTTAGAGAGAACCTAGAGACTTGAGGCGCCAGCCGCTGCCGTGTGCACCCCCAGCCCCGCCTCGATGACGTAGGCATGGCTGCAGAAGAGCCCTGGGCCTGATTCGACCCATACACAGCCTTCTTAATAACATTTATTTCTATCATCCTGTCCACTTGGGCCTAGGTGGAGAGGAGCTGTACATTCCTAGCAGGCGGGGGAGAGTGGCCAGATCCCTGAGAGTTTATTGGCAAGATATTTGGAGAAGTTTCCAAGTCCTTGAGTAACTGAGGCCGCTGCAAGTGGGAATCCTTGTCCGGCAGCAGGTTAGGAGTCCAGAGCATGTGGGCCACGCCCAGCCCAGCGCGGTGAGCAGTGGCTGCGGGGAGCCGGGCTGGCCGGTTAGCAACAACCACAGGAAGCTCGTCCTGTTCCTGGTGGACGAATCCATCCTGTTCCAGGCTGTTGAAACTGCTCTCCTGCTGCAGGCAAGGTGTCTTTATCTTATGCTCAGATGGAGACAGGTCTGGTCCTTGGCCGCTGGAGGCAGTGTGTATCTCCCCACTTCGCCCTTCTGGTTCTGCCGTGCTCCCATGCAGCAGGGCCCCTGGAGCGCAGCTGCAGGGGAGGCGGGAGGGGCTGCAAGTTCCCTTCTTGTTGGCTCATCGGATGCCCCCATGAAACCTCCTCTCTGGCTCCCACCTCCGCCCCTGCCAGGAGGACACAGGGGACACTGCTGGCCAGTCCCAGGTGCAATTAGAGGGGGGGCAATCCCTGCTGGGGCTACCATGACACAGCACCCCAAGACAAGGTGACCGGAACCGCAGGCACAACTTCCTTGCAGGTCAGGGGGTCAGACTTCCAGGCTTGGTGCCCTCCTGGCTGGCGGGTGACAGTCCTTTCCTCTGCCTTCAGCTGACCTGGTCCTCCTTGCACCTGCAAGCCTGCACACCTATCTCCTTCCTGCCACGGGAACCAGGGGGGGGGGTCACTCGAAATTTAGCAAATCAATAACAGGCTCAATTTTAAGTTGGTCATTTTGAATGATGTAATGCGGATATCGTAAATGTCCAGCTGGTGTTTGGCAGAAAACAAAACAAAACCAAAAGGTTTCCCGGAAGCCTGACTCTAGGGACAGCAGCCGTTGTGGACGCCTCAATTCTACCTGGTAATTGTTCTTGAGGACTTTGTTTCTGGGTACTGCCTCATTCTGAGGCTCTGGGGGCTGGACTCTGCATGACACTTTTTCAGGACACAGCTGAGTCCACAATGCATGTGGTGTTCTTGGTTCAGGGCTGGTGTTCCAGGCTTGCTCCCCCGCCACACACACATACACACACACACACACACACACTCTCACTCACATACAAGCAAAGCGGCCCCCTGCCTGAACACTGGACTTTTCTCACCACCTGTCCAAGCTGCTCATCCTTGCCTACTACCACCCTGCCACTACTGAGCCCTGCCACCTTGGAGACAGGCCAGCCTGGCACCAGACCAGGTGATCCCCCACCTACTGTAGGTAGCCAGCAGCGGGGGAGCCCTGGTAAGTCATCAGTAGCAGGTCCCATGGGCTCCAGCTGTTACAGCCATTTCAGAAGTTAACTAGCAGATGGAAGAGCTTCCTCTCTGTCTCTCCTTCTCTCTGTAAAATCTGCTTTTCCAACTAAAAAAATTAATCTTTAAAATAAAAATAAAAATAAAAAAGGTTTCTTGTGAGCTGTATTTTACATTTTAAACATAAAGTTTTAAATTTTAAATGTATTTTACATTTTAAAATTCCCCTGGTGTGGATGCTTAGCCTAGTGTAAAGGCACCTGCGTTCCGTGGTGGCGTGCCTGAGTTCCATCCCTCATTCTGGTTCCTGACTCCAGCTGCCTGCCAGGGCAGACCTGCCGAGTCCTCAGGTGATGGGGTTCCCATCCCCGCCCCCCCAGAGGGGACCTGGATTGTGTTTGAGTCCCCTCTGGCCCAGTAGAGGGGGTGAGCTAGCAGATAGGCCCTCTGTCTCTCAAAGAAACAAAACCAAACCAAAAACCATGTCACTTATGTGATTTGATCAATCCACTCTGTCTCGATGGGCACACACGGCCCGGGGGCTCCCATCCGATTTCCCTTCCTTGGTGTTGTGTCTTTGGCATTTGCACTGCACCGTGTCTTCCTGTGGCTGATGACGTGCGTGTGTTTGGTGTGTGTCTGCTGCAGGTCACAGTCACCAGCTGTTTCACGTGTGTGTGATCCTGGCCACGCACTTGCAGATGGAAGCCATACTCCTGGACAAGTCGTCGAGGAAGGAGTGGCTGCTGGCCACCACCAGGCCCTTCTCTTTCCCGCAGATAGCTGGAGCCATACTTCTGTGTGTCATCTTCAGCCTCGGCAACATAATTTATTTCTCAGCTGCTCTGTATCGAATTCCTGAGCCGGAAATACATAAAAAAGAAACATGATTCAAACCCTAAGTGCTTCCTGCCTGATGTCCACGTTTGGCAGCAACGCTGGAACGGCTCTGAGTCGGTGCGTGGTGCTGGCTGCTGGTGACCTGAGTGCGTCACAGTGACTGGTGTCTTGGCATTTGAATGGGTTCATGTAAAAAAAAAAATTATTTAACGGGGTTGGGGGAGTTTTCTGAATATGCACTGCTGCCGTACGTGTGATTTTAAAGGAGGACCATGAGGTTAACCAGGTCCTTGTGGATTACTGCTGTCTCCTGCGGGGTTGAATGTTTCCAACGCTGTGCACACAGTTGGCCTAAATCTACCACCTTGCATCTTTGCATCCCTCTTCAAAACTAGAGCTGGCTTCAGATGATGGATCTCATGAAGCAAACTCCCACTATGACCTCTCAATTATTTTGGTAGCTGGAGAAAAAAAAAAAAAGATCAAAGATCCCTGGGGGTCCTGAGAAGAAGTTGGGCCTGTAGGAACCCCAGGAGAGTGAGTGGCACTTAAGAAGGCCTACTTGAGGGATAGCCACTTCCCTTCCCCGCCTAGAGAATGAAGCAAAGGTAGGTCTTCCCACAAGTTCATTCTGCCTTCCAAGGACAGGTTCTGTGTCAGTGTAGATTTGGGTTTTCTATGGTGTATTTTTGCTCTTTGATTCTTCCTTCTTAAATGTTCACAGCCTGTGGCTGGGTGTCAAGTGTTCTATGATGTTCTTTTCATTGCCAGACTATACTGTGTAGGTGGAGCACATTGAAGGTATGAGTTGGCTGGGTCAGTCCCACTTGGCCAGTCATCTTTCAAACCTGTGATAGCACTGTATTGGGGGATGTTAGATGGTCAGTTACTGCTTCAGTGTTTCAGGGATGCTGTGTAATCTGGTGTTTGGGAGCCAAAGAGGTGAAAGACTTCACCAGTGCCATGGTAAAACATAAGCTTGCTCAGCCATCCTGTGGATCAGAAGCATCCGGTAAGCTTTTTACAGAGTCTGGGGCAATGCAGGGACAATGCTTAGCCAGGCTCCACAGAGTACACACAGTGAGCAGGTGCATGGATCAGACAGTGGGTCAGGTCCCCCAGAAGGCCCAGGACCACACTGGAGGAAAGGCTGGTTGACCTGGGCCTGGCCGCTTTGCTTCTGTTGATCTGAATGTCAGTGGCTCCTTACCTCAGGGTGTGTCCTGCCCTTTCTGTTCCAGAGTTTTCTGTCCTGAGTTGTGCTACCCTGAAGGTTGTTAAGACTCAGAATGCCGTCCCTTGTGTCAAGGTGTCAGCAGATCTACATAAAGCCAGGAGGTCACGAAAGAGGGGATCGGGTGTGTGTGCACCTGCTGACATGATCCACCACTGACATCAGCAGGTGTTGCAGCCTGGCCCGAGGGTCCCAGCCAGCTCGCATCCCACAGTACGTCTGCAATAATGTCTGTTCAGCCAAAAGCTGACAACACCCTCGTAACTGATCCTGGTTTCAAAATGACTCAGCTATTCCTCCTCATTCTGCCTGGCGATGTGTCCTCCTTTCGCTTTCTTGGATCCACGAATGAGGGCGTCTGCCAGGGTCCATTCCCAGATAAAATACTTGTCTTGGAGACTCTCGGATTTGTTACTCAGGTGGAGGGTAATAATGAGAGACCTGGAGCATTTTCTTATCTGTCATCTTGCTGATGGAAATGCAGCATCTTGTGTCTTCAGAAATGCCTGTGTAATGACCTGTAGCGGAGGCGCATGAACTTGGCATTGTCTGACTCAGGCATAGCTGGCATACCTTCCTGTCTGCCAGTACTGCCTCTACGATGATGCAGGCCAGACCCTGCAACGGTCATGTAAATGATTCCTCTTCTATTCATCGGAGGGCAGTAGCCATTTATCCTGGGTGAGAGTGGTAAAGAAATATGATTTCATTAATTTTATTATCTGTTAACCTCCTCCGGGGAAAGCAGGAAGATAAAATTATATGGGCTGGTAAATTTTTGGTACATTAATTGCAAGCTGATGACAGAATTTGTTCTTTTGGCAACAATCTGCCACTACAAGTGGGATTGCGCATGGGCGGGGTGTGTGAGCTTTATTCCATCTCCATGTAACTTGACTTTTACAGTTTAAGTGCCTGTTCTAGTAATGCCAAAGATACAGTTTCCAATTCTCTTCTTTATAGATAATGAAATCATGTTCTCTATTGAGTTCAAAGAGAATGGTGATTAGGGCAGTGACATCCTATATGGTTCGAGTCCTGGCTGCTCTGCTTCTGATGCAGCTACCTGCCAATGTGCCTGGGAGAGCAGCGGAGGATGACCTGAGTGCTTAGCCACCTGCACCCACAAGGGACCTGGAAAAAGCCCCTGGCTACTGGCTTCAGACCGGCCCAGCTCCGCATGTCACAGCCAGTTGGGGCGTGAACCAACAGACAGAGGATCTCTCTCCGTTTTGCTTTCTCTCTCTATCCCTGTGCCTTTCAAATAAACAAGTAAATCTTTTTAGGTGATCGATATGGACTTTAGATGTTTAACCTTTGCTTGTGTTTTTCATCCTAATGCTAAATCAGTAAAATTAGACCAAATGTTTGTAATACCTTTATAAATTCGGTGAACTTTTGTCTCATTGTGTACTTGGGGACAGTGTTATTAAAGTTGCAATGCACTGCTTGGGAAGCTGTAATGTGAAAGGGGGATGGTTTAAATGTATTCATTATTTCCTAAGCACTCAATGATGGATGCAGGATGTCTACTGCGGGCGTGGTGTCACTCCAGCCATACCGGACAGTCACAGAGGTTGGCCAGGGGTCAGCTGAAGATGCTATTAGGAAGCTGTTAAAAGCTGTGGTTCTCAATTAAAAAAAAAAAAAGTTTCAGTAAAGAGATGTGACACTTCCATCAGTGACTTTGCACTCCAGTTCCCAAGCGACTCTGGGAGGGGCTAATGTCCCCTTCCAGTGGATGTCCACACCTTCACTAGCTGAAGAAACACCTTTCTGAAGGTCCCTGCACCTGTGATGGGCTCTTGGTGGACGTCCCCCCACCCCTCTCCCCCGCAGGCTCAGGGCGACTCCTTTCCAGTGGCTCAGGTTTCATCTTTTTTCTAACGAGAAAAGAGTTTCCAGTTGTTGGTGCACCGCTCAGGGAAACCGGGGCCTTTTGAATACAAAGTGATTGAAGGATTAAGCGGTGCGGTGTGCGATGGTACCGTATGATACGTTTGAGAAGCCCTTTACTTGAGCCTCCCGTGTCCCTAAGGCCTCCCTTTTGCTAGGAGGTGTCTCTTAATACTACTACTGCTGGATGCCAGCCCCTGATGTTTTTGCCTCAACAGTCCACTCTGGCACTACCTGCCCATTCAGAGATGTTCTTCCAACGTCCAGTAATGTCTGCTTTTCTGGAACTGAGTGAGACACAAAAATAAAGAGAATGTATTTATTGTCATAAAACTGCCCTGTTTCTGGCTTGATTTGGTTGTGTTTTACTTACCATGTGGCAAGTGTGTTCCTGCCTCCCGAGGAACAGGCCCCTGTACACCTGGACAGGGGCACGGCAGTGATACTGAGTGCACGGCGTGTATAGGACAGGTGCTACCGTTGGGCTTGGGGATCCAGAAGTGGACACAGCCTGTGCTGTCCCCCTCGTTGAGAGCCAGGGCTGTGGGTGGGCAGGCACACAAACCCAGAGAAATCCAGACCAGGATGAGCACTGGACAAGAGGCTGGGGAGCGGCAAGGAGGTGAATGGGACAGTTACTTGGAGAAACCAGTGTTTGAGCTTCCACATTGGCCGCCTGCAGTGGCTGGGGAAGGCATGTCGGCTTGGGGCAGCAGTGAGGACAGGGGCCCCAAGGCCAGCAGGTTTTCGTCTTGTTTCAAGAGTGGACATCAGGCGCTCATTCCTGAGCTGTTTAACTCCAGATGTCTGGATAACAGGACTTTTGAAGTATTACGCAATTTATCGGAACTTTCCTGCAGAACAGTTGCCTAAAGGACTTTCGTATGTCCTGTGGGTATTGGTGTGGAATGTGCCTCAGACAGATTGGGTCCTCACTCCCACGTTCTTCAGGTTCCTAAAACCGCCTTTGGGTAGGTGTTTGGTTTAGCACTACAGACTCCAGTTAAGATCCTCCCTTCTCCCATTGGAGTTACTGGGTTCCTGCCTGCCTCCACTCCCAACTCCAGCTTCCTGCTAATTCAGAGCCAGGCAAGGCTGCTGGCTCAAGTTCTTGGATTCCTGCACCCACCTGGGAGATCTGGATTGAGTCTCCAGCCCCTAGCTTCAGCCTGGCACAGTGGTAGCTGTTGTCGATATTTGAGGAATGAATCAGGGGAGAAGGGCTCTGTCTGTATTTTTCCCTGTCTCCTGAATAGAAATAAAGGACAATACAAACCGGCTTAATTTTGCCTATTCCAGGGCATAGATCCGAAGATCATTTAATTCAGCCTTTCTAAAATTTGTTTTGTAATGTAAAATGCCATAGGACCAGGTCTATACACACTGACATACGCCCATAGGAAGAGAGAGGAGACAGGGAATCTTGGGATTACTACTTTTTAAAAATATTTATTCGCTTTTGTTTGGTGGGGGTGGGAGAGAAAAGGAGGGGTAAGAGATTTACTGCTGATTTAATCCACCTGCAGATTCACTTCCCAAAAGCCTGTAACAGCCTGTCCTGGGTTAGGCTGACGCCAGGAGCCTGGAACTCCGATTGGGTATCTATCCGGATGATAAGGCCCCAGATACCTGTGACATCATCTGCAGGATACCTATTATCAGGGAGCCAGACTACCAACAGGCCTTAAAACTTAATCCAGAGTGAACAAGGAAGAGTCCCTGTGAGGACAGGTGAATTATGTCACCTCTTATACAATGACCACTTACGTATCACTCCAGGTCCCCGCCCCGCCCCCACCTGACTAATACAGTCTGACAAGTTGGAGCTGTACTTCCTTTCCCCTTATCCCGGCCTCCCACCTTGGACACAGCTCTCCCTCCTTCCCAGAGGCCCACATGAGTCTGCAGCCCCTATCCCCTCATCTCTGTGATGAGCATTACAATGCTAATGAGTTTAAAAGTAATAATCATAATGATATAACAAATGAAGTGGAGCTGGGGCTCCACCTCCAACAGGAGTTGCAGGGCTCCCAACCACAACTTCATCACTGCTACACAGTTGCCACCCCTGGAATTTCAAACATTTAGAAAAAAGTCTTTGAAGAGTTTTAACAAAAGGGAATTGGAGAAGCACTGATATAATCCAACATTTTTTAAAGCCTAATTTCAGACACAGAAAAATGTTGCAAAACAGTACAAAGAATTCCCAGGCACTTTTCATTCTCCCTTCTTTGAGGTCTGGAATTCCACAGTCAACATTCCAGCTCCCCTCAGCTACAGTAATCCGTACTGACCTGCTCAGTCCCAGAAAGTTCAGGACGCTGATTCAGGCTTATTAACTCGTGCCAGGGTGCAAACAGAAGCCTCCTAATTAGAACACGATGGCGATGTTATGTTTCAAGAGCCTTGCAGCCAGGGGCGGATCATCCAAATGACTCCGATTAGTCATTTCTTCCTCTCTGCATGCCACTCGTTTGTTTGAAATATGATTTGAGTCACATGTTTCTTTGCAGCTCCTCCCACCCAACCTGATTCATTTTTATTAATTTGCATTATGTGTCTTTTTAAACCTTAATACCTCACCATCAAGTGTACAAATGACCTGTGCCAAGAGGCCCGCATGATCTGGGGGTGTAAGGGCTGGGCCAGGGAAGGAACTAGGAAAGCTGAGGACACCCAGCTCCCAGGGCAGTCCTGTCTCTAGCTGACTTCTTTTCTGCAAACACTGGGCTGGGCAGCAGTTTCTCTTTGTTGCTCTTGAGTTTCCATAGCTGTGAGTTTTGGATGAACAAGCGATTTCAAGCCTGTGCTGTGCCAGTTCCTCCTCGGTGATTTGCTTAAGAATCTCCCAGGCGCTGGTGCTGTGGTGCAGTGCGTAAAGCTGCCACCCGTGCTGCCGGCATATATATGGACACTAGTTCAAATCCCAACTGTTCCACTGCTGATCCAGCTCCCTGCTAATGTACCTCAAATAAATAAATAAGCCTATAGACACAGACACACAAAAAGACATGCCCCCATCTGACACTTTGTTGCAGATTTAAACTTGCACTCCCCCCCAAGACCCATAATCCCATCCTAGAGAAACAAGTGCATGCAAACACCTTGAAGGGAGTTATCCTGTCAGCTTCAATCACAATCACCAAGTAAAATTCTGAATGGATACATTTTTCTGCATTGGAATAATGGGAAAGGACTCAGCACTAGAAAGGCAGGAATTCCTGGTGAAGCAACACTATCGGGGATCAGGGAGGGAGGCGCTGCAGCAGGTGAGGCGAGGAGGGGACTGACCACCCGGGGCTGTGGCTGCAACGGTTTCACACAGTTCATCCTGGCAGTCTCTGTTTGTCAGCTGCCCAGAACCGCACAAGGAGAAAGACGAGCTTCACTGTATGTAAAATATGCAAAGGATGCCCGATGGACAACCTAAAAAAATGGCCTCCTATCCACTCCCTCTCCTGCCTCCAGTCCCGTCTGGAGCTCTAGTTATAGAGGAAAATGCAGGTCTCGGGGTGGCTGTGGGCGTCTGCCTTTTGAACATTTTTGAAATGACAGAATGAATTGGTGTTAAGAAAATTGAGACAAGGAAGAGGGCAAGTAGAAGCCAGGCAAAGTGCACCATGGTGGATCCTGTATGGGGACCCTTTTCAAAGGGGTGATTCATTCCTTCCTTCCCCGCGTTGCCACATCTCCTACCTTGGCTGGCACTGGACATGCAACAATGCCATCTAGTGTGGGCAGAGGGGACAGGGATAAACAATGACTGGTGAGGGCTGGAGCACTTCAACAGGTGCAGCGCGTGGAGGCAGGGAGCAGGGGGCGGGCATGTCTGCTGACAATCCAGGCTGGGGTGAGGTCCCAGAGGGGGAGGCCAGAGTGGGGCTGCAGAGAGCAGGCAGCGTGGGCCTGGTGTGCTCAGAGCTGCCGGTCTGCGGTCTGCGAGGGCTGCAGGAGGAAGTGGTGGGAAGGAAGAGTCAGCGCCCCAAGGACAGTCCCGAGCATGGGGGCCTCCGCGGAGTTCATGTGGGACCCCACAGATTCTGTGATCCAGGGGCCAGCCAGCGACTCTGCTTCTAGCAATCTATCCTCCCCATTTCCTTGCGTCCTACCAATGGAGGTGTTCCCAAGTTAACTCGGTCCAAGGGAGCTCGGTCCGTATCAGAAACGATTCCAATTCCTGTCCCATCCCGCAGGCCCAGGAGAGGACTCTCGGCAGCCGCGCCGTAGGCGGCGTTCCGTAACAGCGTCGTTGTCAGAAGTGTCTGCGATAATCATCAGGGAAAGAAAAGGGCCTGCAGTTCCTCTCCCTCCAGCGCTCACAAGCAGACGCCGCGTCGGTCGCCTAGGAGACCGGCACCGCTTCCGGCAGGGCGGCGGCTCCCGCCGAGGCCACGCCCCCTGCCTCAGGCGGCCGTTGATTGGCCCGTTTGAAATGCGCCGGGCGCGAGCTCACCTGGGCTAGCAGCGACGCCGCCGGGCTTTCCGGAACGCCGCGCTCGGTCGGCTGCGTCGCTTCCCGCGGTCTCCGGGCCAGCTCCGCGCCTGCTGCCATGAAGCCTGCGTGAGTCCGGGTTCTGTCAGGGAGACGGCTGGTGCCTCGGGCCGCCGTCCTCGGGCGGGCCGGGGGCTGGTGCCTCAGGCCGCCCCTCTCCGGCGGGCCCGGGGCTGGTACCTCAGGCCGCCCCTCTCCGGCGGGCCCTGCTTCCTCACACGGCCGTGGGGCGGGGGTCCCTGAGTTCGGTTCCCGGGGTCCCGGCTGGCACGGCGTGGGCTCGGAGGCTGGGGTCGTCTCACGTGGGAGGCGGAGGGCATCCCAGGGGACGTCCCGACCCGCCCAGGGCGCTGCCTCGGACCGGACGCCCACGCCCTTGTGCCCTCCCGGGTGAAGTACTTGTGCCACCCTAGAGAAGCAGCCGTTGAGCTGGTCGTTTGCAGCGGGGTGGAGGGCTGCGTGTTTGCTGCAGAGGTCAAGTCGGAAGCTTTATGCCTGTTAACAGAGCATCTAACGAACGTGCACTGGCTTCATCTGGGAATATGCTGAGTATTCCGCAGAGAACATCCTAAGCCCTAAGGCCACTGAACTTTAGTGGGAAATGTTCATTCAACCTCTAGATAAATGTGAAAGGAAAAGAAGTTATGTGTCAGAGGAAACGGTAAAAACGGGAGGGAAAAGAATGGGGGAGTTGAGCACCCCAATGTGTTGGGGCACCCAGCTTTGAGTCTTTTTGTGGCAATTTTTTCTTGAAAGTACGCTGCGCATCGTCACCTTGACCGAGGATCTCTGTGGGCGTTTTTATGATTTCACTGTGGTCGGTAGACACTGACTGGGCACATGAGCTATGCACATGTGTCAGTGAATTGAAGGATCAATGTGATCGCTTGCTTGCTGATATTTCAAAATGTTAGCGTCTCTGAAATTGTTACTGAAGATCCTAGGCAAGCTACATAAAATACAGAATTCATCAAAAACTGAATGATTAACATTTGGTAACAAAAATGTATTCTTAACCAAACACTTTTGGGTGCCAGTGTAATTTCTTTCTGATGATTCAAGTTGTTTGGGATAATATTATAAACCCCAGGGAGGTTGTGTTTGTATGAATTACACGTGTGGTTTTGGTATGTTGATGTTGTACTGAAATGTTCTTTTCCGTGTGACCAGGAGGGCTAAGACACCTAGGAAACCTCTTGTGAAAAAGGGATCCCAGACGAACCTTAAAGACCCAGTTGGGGTAAGGTCTGCCTGTGGATGTGGGTGCGTGCTTGGAGGGGCAGGAAGGGCTGTGGCGTTACAGGTTGTACTGAACCCTGCGGAGCTGCTGCTAGCCGTGCAGTTTCATTTTCCATATAGGATTCATTAAAGTCAAGTCGTTGTGGACTGTGCATCCTCTCACTGGTCTCAAAATAGACCATGGAAATCTGCAGCAGGCCAGATGCTCTGGGGATGGGGGGGTCGGGGAGGCATACTCTGTTCCTGACAGCCTGTCACCAGGCTAGCCCCCAGGTGCTGTCATGGGATGGCATGTTCAGTCTGTCGCAGACTCCTCTGCAAGCAGCTCACGGTTGGTGGGCGTGGGAAGTTCTTGGAAAGGCCAGTGGCAGCTCGGAGAGCCTGGCTTTCCCTGGGTCTGTTCAGGCTGGCCTTCACTGCCCCTGCAGTGGGTCTCTGAGCCAGGAACCAGGTGCCTTACACAAAGCAGAGCGGGTTTTTCCATCCACTCCACTCCCTTTTTTCCTATTTTTTGTATGGGAAGTATCAGGTTAAGCTGGCTAAGTTAGAGTAGATGTTCAGTTCCCAAGAATTCTAACAGTGTTAGAAAGCTGTCATATTGTGTGCTGGGCTGTTGGGTTTTAGAGATTTTTCCATTAGTATAGCAACAATAATGAAGAGAAGCTGCGTGGTTGGATACTTTGAGTGCATTTGCCTTTTCTGGTGTCCAGCATTGCCAGTTTGCACTGTATGTCCTTGATAGCAGGGTTTGTGGCTCTTCATTTGAGAGACTAAGTGCTTGTTGAGTGAGTGAATGGGAAACGCAAGAACGCAGGTGAGCCATCAGCGTGCTGAGCCCTTCCTGTTTCTGCAGGTGTACTGCAGGGTGCGCCCGCTGAGCTTTCCCGACCAGGAGGGTTGCATAGAAGTGATCAATAACACGACTGTTCAGCTTCACACGCCGGAGGGTTACAGACTCAACAGAAATGGAGACTACAAGGAGGTAATTCCTGTGGGAGGCAGGTTGTGTGTCTCCTCAGTAACTTCTCCATTGGTAAAGCTTTTAAAAGTTTGTTCATCTGTTTGAAAGGCAGAGTGACACAGGGAGAGGGAGAGGTATCTGCTGGTTCATCTCCTCAATGCCCCCAGTAGTGAGGGCTGGGCCGGGCTGAAGCCAGGAGCTAGGAACACGTGTGGCACGGAGCCAAGGACTTGGGCCATCATGGTTTTCCAGGTGCATTAGTAGGGAACTGGATTGCAAGTAGAGTAGCTGGGATTTGAACCAGCACTGATGTGGGATTTGGGAGTCCCAGGTGGTGGCTTACGCTAACTGTCCCTCCATGTGGAAATTGAACAGTGCTTACACTTTTTTGAAAGACTTGTAGAGACATGCTTTTGATATGCTGGTTTGCTTTCTGGGGTATTTTCTTGTATAAACATCAGTGATTTGTGTTTTAGAGCACATATTAGGGATAGTTTAATGTGGATGCTGACTGTGCCAGGCAGTTGATGAATACACATTATTATTTCATAATGTAATAAACATTGTTTGCTTATAAAATGGTCTTATGTTCAGTAAAATGCTGAGTGAGCGCAAAAACGTTTTCAGTTTAACAAACATTGTGCTGAACTAGTATCTGGAGGGTGGAGATTTTTCAGGAACAAGGAGGACAGCCCTTGCCTTTGTGGAATTTACAACTCGGTTAGGTCAGTGGAACAAGACAGGGAGACGTGAGCTGTCAGGGGTGCTGGCCGGGGCGGGGCTGTGGAGCTGCAGCTGGAGGAGAGGACTTGGGCTCCACACCCTCCCTGTGCGCTCTGTGCCTGTGGCGGCCCCTGGCAGACCCAACGTGGCCTTGCACGAAATTGGGTGCACGTGGCGTTGTCCTTGTGATGACACGCCTCCCGAGGCACTGCCCGTTCTCTCCTGTCCACTCTCTTTGCCCTTTTCCAACCTCTAAAGGTTTTCTGTCTGCGCTTCCCTATGGCCTGAATGTTGATTGTGTGATGAGAACCATGGCGTTTTTACCTGTTCCCTAAACCTGTTCTCTGGCTTTGAACTCCAACTAGAAGTTGGACTTGTCCAGATCTCAAGCCTACAGTCTTCTCGAGGCATAGCAGCGTCCTGTAGCACAGCACCATTGTGCACGTCCCCAGCCTGGAACCCGCTTTGCCCGGGGCTGTCTTCGTATCGAATTTATGAGTCTGTGTTGCCAGTGCTGCTGCAAAGTCAGTCTTGCTTGTGTCTGTCTCCACTGCTGTCACCTTCCCCTGAGCTGGTTATTCATCACTGAGACTAGAGTTTCTCAAGGTGTCTGCCATGAAGGGATGGCTTTTTGAATTCACAGCTCCTTGCAGCTGTTGCAGGTGGTGCTAGCTGGAACTAACCACGTGAGCACACAGACCTGGTTTCTGATCTGTTCGCGGGGGATGAGCCTGTAGTGCTGCCTGGTGTGACTCCACCAAGTGGTCGACAGAAGCGTCTGCACCGGCAGGCCGACTGATGGCCAGCACTCCTCCACAGGCACTGCTGGTCTTGGCGGACACTCGGGGAGCCCGCTTGCTGGCTGCTGTGCGCCTTCAAAGTTGAAGCAAGATTGTGCGTGTTGTTTTCTCTTCATGTCCTTTCTACCCAGCCTCATCTGTCAGTGCATATGCACTTTCTGGAGCTCCTGGAACGGGCCGGATTGCTGGCCGACTGCCTCTGCTGTGGCCTGGACTACTTCCCCTGCTGGCCCCTCGTCCTTGGGTTTCCACTTAGTGTGCCCGTCTCAGGGCGTTTCCCTCCACCCCATCAGAAGTGGCAGTTACTTGACATATGGGTGTGTTGTTTGTCTCTCTCCCCCGCTGTAATGTCAGCCTGAGAGGAGACTGCAGCCCGTTGGCCCTGCCTGGTGGGAATGAGCCTGCAGAGGCTTCCTGGGGCCAGGGGACAATGGAAGAAGATGGGTGGGACTGTACTTCCTCATTGTAGTGAATTGGAAGCAGGCATAGATGAAAGGCTGGGTGGGGAGGAAACGGATTGAAAATGGTCACTTCCTTATAAGGACAGCAGCGTATAATATGTGAGCACTGCCCTCGGGACGGCTTCCATACCAGTCAGTGCCCTGGAGTGAGGCTTCCTTTGTATCTGTTCCTGAGGACCAGGAGGTCCCCTGTGTGCTGGATCATATTCAGTGTGAGTTAGGGATGCCAGGACTTTTTAGTGGTTACCTGGAAACTGCAGGTTCCAGATGGGAAGTGGTTGTCTGATGTGTGTGGAGGAGCCGGTCAGGAAGTCTGCATTGCATCATGGTGCCTGCTCCCAGCCCTGGCCCTGTGCCGGTGTGGCTCCTAGGAGGCAGCAGAGGATGGGTCAGGCAGTTGGGTTCCCACTACTCACGTGAGGCGCTGGACTGTGTGGGTTCGCCACCTCTAGCTTTGGCTGCCCAGTGTTGGCCATTGCTGGCTTTTCGGGGTGGACCAGCAGATGGCAGGTTGTGCTTTTGCTTGCTCATGCTGTGTTTCTTCCTCCTAAAGTACAGCCAACATTCAAAAAATAGGTGTTTTTTTTTTCTTTGTATGTCTAGATCTTAAATGTTCATAGAGAAATATTTCAGGTTGAAACAGATGTATTTCTAGTGGAATGCCATTTAAGTGCAGATTGTTCTTTCCTTATAGACTCAGTATTCATTTAAGCAAGTATTCGGCACTCATACCACTCAGAAGGAGCTCTTCAATGTTGTGGCCTGTCCTCTGGTGGATGACCTCATTCATGGCAAAAATGGTATGACTCTTGGAGTTTTTGGATGTTCCTTTTTCTCTTCTGACAAAACTTTCAAAATCTGTATATATATATCTTGTGTTTGGTATTGAATTCAGATTTGGTTTGTGTGTGAGTGCTATTAAACCTGCTTTATCCAGCTGTTTGATTTTTTTTTTCTTTTAATACAATGAACGAATATTGCAGATGGAGGACTTTGCGATTGTAACTCATTGTGACTTGCTACACTGTAGGTCTGCTTTTTACATACGGTGTGACAGGAAGTGGAAAGACCCACACGATGACCGGCTCCCCAGGGGAAGGAGGGCTACTCCCTCGCTGCCTGGACATGATCTTCAACAGCATAGGGTCATTCCAAGCTAAGCGATATGTGAGTGGAATTCTTTGTGTTGGGACTCTGTCACTGTACGTGTGGGATTGAAACGCTTAAGGACACAGTAGTATTAAGGGAGAACCGAAACACTGGACTAATTTTGAAAGCTGAAAAGCAGTGAACTATTCCCGATTCTTATTTCTGAAGTGTGTTTGGTTTTTTTTTTTTAAGTGATTTTTAAACACATGGTCTGGTTTTGCCCTCCCTCAGGTTTTTAAGTCCAATGACAGGAACAGCATGGATATACAGTGTGAGGTTGATGCCTTACTGGAGCGTCAGAAAAGAGAAGCCGTGCCCAACCCGAAGACCCCCTCTGGCAAGTAAGTACTGCGTGAGGCTCACCAGATTGTGTCTTGTGGTTTCCCCTGGCATGGGAGTGGTGAAGGCTGAGTGGGGAAGTTGGCCTGACAGCTGGTTTTGTGAAGCTCAGGTTGAGACATGTTCTAGCATTATTTGCTCAGCTGTTCTCTGATTTTGAGCACACTTTGAGTCGCTGTATTGAGGGGACCTGTGTTTGTCTGGGAGGATTAGGGAAACTGTTGGTGGGCTGTGAGTATGAGCAAAGTTGCTTTGGGAATTTCTGTTTGCAATAGTGGGTCAGCTCTCTCTCTCTCAAGATTGATTTATTTCTTTGAAAGACAGAGTTGTACAGAGAAAGGAGGGAAACAAAATTTCCCATATTCTGGTTAATTCTCCCAATTGGCAGAATGGCCAAGACTGTACTTAGCCAGAGCCAGGACCCTGGAACTTTATCTGGGGCTCCCACGTGGGTGCAGGGGCCCAAGCACCTGAGCCATCTTTTGCTACTTTCCCAGGCCCATTAGCAGGAAGCTGGATGAGAAATGGAGCAGCCAGAATTCAGATGGGACTCATATGGGGTGTCGGTGTTGAAGGCTGTGGCTCTGCTGTGCCAAACACTGGCCTCCATTTATGTCATCTTAGTTTCCTCTTGAGATCACTCCCTTTTGATAATGACTCAAAATACACAATAAATATGATATTCCTGTTTTTATTTTTAGGCGACAAGTAGATCCAGAGTTTGCAGACATGATAACTGTCCGAGAATTCTGCAAAGCAGAAGAAGTCGATGAAGATAGTGTTTATGGCGTATTTGTCTCTTACATTGAAATATATAATAATTACATATATGACCTGTTGGAAGAGGTGCCATTTGATCCCACAAAACCCAAGTAAGTAGGGAGGCCCTCTTGGCCTGTTAACCTTGGGGAGTCATCGCTCTGATCTTTGCTTTTTTTTTTTTTTTAGCTATACTCGCCTTTGTTTTCAGAATGAAAGATTGTTTTATTGTGTAGTTAGTGCTTAGCAAGAATTTTGTTAGCTTGGGATGCAACTATAGTAGGGAACCCAGGGGTGAAGGCTCTTAAGGAGCAGAATGACCAGAGCAGTCATTGCAGAGGTTGCTTAGGGAACACACCATGAAAAGGACCTTTGTGCATTTTATAAGGGAGTGTCCTTGTTGAAGCGTCCAGGGCCTGCCTCTAGATGAAACTTAGCGTGGGGCATTTTGTAGCTTTTTAGCGATCTGTGTACGTCATGGTGGTGACTAGAATGGAGTTGAAAGCTGTTGTCTGCACAAGTGATGCTCAGAGACCTTCTCTCGCTAGCTGCGTTGCTAGATAACATGCTGTTGGAGTGAAAGAATTGCTCCTTCGATTTCCTTGGGTCTTGCTTTGCTGAGTCTTGCTTTGTTTCCACCTGGCATCATAAATGGATGTGTGTCAGAGTTGACTGCGGTCTTGTATCTTAATGCAAGTGTGTGCTCCTCGTGGTGCTGGTTTTGTTCTAAAGTTAAAGAAGTTAAAGGCTGGTCTTCACTGTTATATCTTTTTTTTTTTTTAAGATTTATTTATTTATTGAAAATCGGTTATGGGGGTTAGGAGAGGAGAGATATCATCTGAGTTCACTCCCCAAGTGGCTGCAGAGGCTGGGGCCAGGGACAAAGCTGAGCCAGGCTGAAGCTAGAAGCCTGGAACTCCATCCAGGTCTCCCGCGCCGGTGCAGGGGCCCAAACACTTGCTTTCTGTTCCCCTGCTTTCCTAAGTGCATGAACAGGGAGCTGGGTTAGAAGTGGAGCAACCAGGACCTGAACTGGCACCCCTATGGGTGCCAATACCACATTGCTGGCCCTAAGGCTGTCTTCATTGGGGCCTCTCAGGACATAAATAATGTGAAGAGGCATGTATTGTATTTACTGTCTGTGTGTATGTCTGATGGAACATTACTGGAAACCATGGGACTGAGGACAGATTTCAGAATTTCCACTTTGATTTCCCCAAAAATGTGGATTGTGATTGAGAGCACCCTTGATGAAAGTCTGTGTGGCTCTTACTGAGTCACTGGGCGCGGTCCTTGGATTTAGGTCTGCGTGGATTAGAAGAGCAATCATCGAGTTGCTGGGCAAACTAGATGTAAAAGTGTCAGTTCTGGAAGTTACGTGAAGGATGTCTGCCGCGCTTTACTTTTACCCTTCTACAAATGAGAACTTCACTAAGAGACTTAGCCCTGGTGTAAGAAATATGTGCAGTTGCATTATAGAGAAGTAATAAGGACCTTATGAGACATTGTATATCCAGCCAATTTTTTCCCATTCATTTCAAGATGTCAGCTGTCTTGACTCTGGTTTTGTGTCCTATTTCCCCAAACTTCTGTAAAGTCATTCCTTGCTACCAGTTAAATTCCTTTCGGTCTGTCCTTGGGCCTAGTTTTTGTTTGGTTAGTTCAAAGGGATCCTATCTTGATTTGATTATGTGAAAGGTGACTGAAGGTGACTTGTGTGCTCTCTAATCTTTCTGGATAACTCCTTGAATAAACTTAGAAGGTGCCTCTTTGGCACTGCATCCAGGTATAATTTAATTGCTTTTTTTGAGCTGGTTGGCTTTAAAATAATGAAGAAGTACCACGAGGGGGGATTTTAATATACCATTCCCGTGACTGTCCCAATGTTTGCACTGAGCGCTTTGCCTGGGCACAGCTGCTGTAGAAGAGTAACTTCTGCCTTATTCCTTTGGTAGGTGGAACAGTTGCAGCACACCCTTGAGGAACCCAGATTTTGTGTATGTGTTTGTGTTGTCTCTTGTCTTGAGGAGAAGGGTGTAGGTATACTAGTGGCTGGCATCTGTGGCATATCTGTATGCAGGTTTTGACTGGCCCTGGGCTGGCTGCCATACTCTTGGTGATGGTGGCTGGTAAATGTCTGCCTCTATGGTTCATAGGGCTGAGGCCGACCAGGCAGTGCCTTTGTCCATCCTACATACAGATCAAAGCTCATGAGCCACTTTGAAAGGATTGCCGCTGCTGGTATATACCAAGCTCTTTCTGAATTGGTGTTTTGCTCTTGCTTGTCCAAATTAGATTTAGTTGTGTATGTTGCTTTGCTAAATTAGGAAAATGCTAGATCTTGATGCTTAACCCGTGCATGCAATGTTGCTTTTACTGCTTTGGTCTCTGGTTGTTTATGTTGTTTTATGTACTTTATTAGAAATAGAGCAAAGTTTTTAATAAAATTGCTTCCTGTTCAAGTAGGCCACTAATGATAACTAGCTTGGTATTTCTTTAGAGTCTTACGTATACTTGGCTCCATTGGAGAATGGGTGTCATGTTGCTGGCATTTTAATCGTAAGGGAAGAAAGAGATCAGTATCTCTGAGTTTTAGGACATTAATCTTTCTTTTTTTCTTTCCCATAGACTTCCACAGTCTAAAATGCTTCGTGAAGATAAGAACCACAACATGTATGTTGCAGGATGTACAGAGGTGGAGGTGAAGTCTACTGAAGAGGCGTTTGAGGTTTTCTGGAGAGGTTAGACCAGAAGTGAAGTAGAACAGTGGAAGCTGAAGGCTGCTGTGCTAATAGGACAGCAGTGTGTGTGTGTGTGTGTGTGTGAGAGAGAGAGAGTGAGTGAGAGAGAGAGAGTGTGTGTGTGTGTGAAGTGGCTGGGTTCCCTGGAGTCAGTGACTTCTCTGTTGTCCCAGGCCAGAAAAAGAGGCGGATTGCTAACACCCACCTGAACCGTGAGTCCAGTCGTTCGCACAGTGTGTTCAACATTAGGTTAGTGCAGGCTCCGCTGGATGCAGATGGAGACAATGTCTTACAGGTAAGGCTGGGCTGGGCTGAGTGTCACTCCATCCTTAGCTTTGCAATTAGTTAGATGAGTGAGGTTTCTCTGCAATTAAATTATTCTGTCAATATATATGTATGTGATGACATTAACCATCTCCCACCCCCCATTAAATATTGAAGTTTCGGGTCTCTTGAGTACAGAATCTTCAAAACTGGAAAAAAGGCTTGCAGATCTTTAAAATGATCTATCTCTTCATTGGAGGAGATAGTAGTGTATACTTCATCTTCTGACAGCTCACTCTGTGGATTCCAGCCATGGTTTTTGAGCAGCAGCAGTGGAGTTCCCGGGTAGAGTGGTTCTTTAGCACCTGACTCTTGGTGGATAGGCAGTAGGGCGCCCCCATCTGCTGAACGCTGTTCTCTGCCAAGACTTTGTGCTAACATGGGTTTGCGTTGCTGACCAGGCATTGTGGCTGAGTACACGTAGTTTGATGGTTTGAAGCTATTAAACTGCGGCTGTGTTTGTACCATAACATGAAATCCTGGAACCCTGAAGGTTCTTAATGGCAGGAGGAAATGGGACTGAAGAATTCTGGTTTCTACCTGATTAGCAGTGTGCCAGCCTCACTGTTGCAGAGCGTTCTCCTGCGGGCGCCATGATTAGAGGAGGCAGTATGCCTCAAATTTTCCATCCTGTGCACGGCTGACAGTGCCCGATTAATGTCAGTTATAGAGTGATTATAAGCTAACCTACATCTGCATGATTTCTGTCTACTGTTAAGATATCACTTAGGTATCTGGAAATTCTTTTGTTGTTATCATAATTATTTAGAGGGCCTGATATGATGGCTTGATGGCCAAATCCTCATCTTGCAAGCTACGGGGTCCCATATGGGTGCTGCATTTGTGTCCCAGCTGCTCCACTTCCTGCACAGCTTCTTACTTGTGGCCTGGGAAAACGGCAGAGGATGGCCCAAAGCCTTGGGACCTTGCGCTCATATGGGACACCTGGAAAAAGCTTCTTGGCTCCTGGCTTTAGATCAGCACAGTTTTGGTCATTGTGGCCATTTGGAGAGTAGACCAGCAGATGGAAATCTTTTCTTTTTGTCTTTCGTGTTCATGAATCTGATCTGTCTTTCAAATAAAAATAAATAAATATTTAAAAAATCATTTAGAGTATGATGTTATTAGGTTATTATACAAAATTAGATGCTTGATTACATAGAAGAGCTTAGTGTAGACTTGTCCTGGGTTCATTTTTGATTCTCTGGTATTTGACAGATTTAGGAGGGGGACTAGACACATGCTGTCTGCAGGCTACAGGTAGCCTCTTCCCCTCCTGTGCGTTGTTTGGTGTGTAAGTGTTGTATTAAGACTTAATAACTGTCTGTTTGAACCTACTTCAAGAACAGTGTGAACCAATGAAAGCTTTAGGTCCTTGGCTTTGTTGTCCTCACAGGAGAAAGAACAAATCGTCATAAGCCAGTTATCCTTAGTGGATCTTGCTGGAAGTGAAAGAACTAACCGGACCAAAGCAGAAGGGAACCGATTGCGTGAAGCTGGTGAGTAAACACAAGTTACTAACTGCTACTGCTTTTCAGCTTGGAATGTCGGTGTAGTACTCACTTACCCATAATTGTCTTTAGTTTAAATAATTCGAAAGCTAAGGTTTTATCATTATATTACAGTGATTTATTTGTGAATGAGGAAGAATGGCTGAAATAAGTGTAAGTGATATTCATTCATATGAAAGTTATCTGTGGCTGCTGGTATTGTAGGCAGTTCCTAGTCCTTGAAACCAGTCATTCCTGCATTCGTATCAGCTTCTGGGGGATCCTAGAAGGGAAGGGAAGTTGAGGGGGAAAGAGAGAAAGAGAGAGTGTTCTGTGTGAGAGAGAAAGAGTGAGATTAGCCCTTTGGTGTAGCCGTGGGTATTGGGGTTTGTGTTGATAACCGTTTGGTGGGTTCCTGCTGTGTGCTAGGAATTGAACACAGATATAAAGGCTGAGGAGAGGTGGGCTGTTTGGGTGGGGGTCAGAAGGGAGTCCAGGTTCTGTGGGTACACAGATCATATGAGATGGCCACTGCAGAGGAGCAGAGTGGGCTGTGTTTCTGACAGGGTTGAAGGCATCGTCCGCTGTGAGGAGGCAGCCACTTGTATAAAGGAGACTGGCAGGTTTGTGAGTGATTGAAAATGTACAAATGTACACCATGTGTAACAGATGTTAGTGATTTAGAAAATAGTAAAGATTTGAGTTTCTTCATGGGCTGAAGAGATGAAACAGTTTAGGCCCACTGGCGTGAAATGGAGTCTTAACGCCTCCTGCTGCCTGCACCAAGGATTCCAGCCTCACCTGTGTCACTGGAGCCTTCAGACTGTGGATCGTTTCTGAGTCTGCGCTGTGACCCTATGGCCCCAATGCCTGGTATAGAATGTGAGAGCTGTGACTGGTGAAGCAAGGACCAAGGAAAGGCAGAAGAATATGGCAGAGGAAGGGTTTAGAGTAAGCTGGATGGGCTGGATGGAGTTTAAACTGGCTTGGTAAAAAGGCCCAGAGCCTGAGGGTCCTGATGGGTGGCAGAAAGGAGAAAGGCCCCTGGGTGATGGAGTGAGGAGCTGTGTGGCACACGTTTGTCCTGGGGTGTAAGGCACAGTGGTGGCCTCTGCTCCTGTGAGTGATAAGGTGTGGTTCTTGGGCCTGTTTGTGCAGGTGCTGTAGAATGAAGACTTACTGCAGTGGAGGACATGGGGTCCTGTGACAGCAGCGCATGTGTGAGAGCTGCTGTCCTGCTGGCAGTGGCCGAGGGCTGCTTGCATCCTTGGGCAGTGCTGGCTTCAGAAAACAAGCAGCTGTACGCTGAAGGGCCGTAGGGGCCAGTGGCACTACTTGTTGGGTGACAGATTTTGGGGTTGTCAGTGCGCACTGAAGCTATGGCCTCTTCCCAGCGTGAACGTGTAACCCAGAGAGGATAAGAAAGAAAGCCAGTTACATTGAAATGTGTTTAACAAAGCATTTTAAATTTATCACATGTTAACTTACGTACTTCTTTATTAATGTCTTAAATAGAAACTCAGCAGCAGGTCTCATAACTAAACAATCCACACTGTAATTGTGAGCATAAATATTTTGATCAGGAGCAAACTATAATATGCTTTAAAAATATCTGTAGTTTTTAATAAAAAGACACAGCGGGCACTCCGCATACTGCTGTGTTTTTGGCTTAGGTTCTTAATTGAAGAAACTGCTGAATTCCAGTTACGAGTTAGTAAAAACAAGCTTGTAATTTACTTCCCCTCTGAATACACTTGGTCTGAAATGTATGCCTGGACAACACAAGCCCCAGGTTGAGAACCTTATTCTGTGAGAGGTTTAGGGATGCAAAGGAACCTGATTCCATTGCTGAGCGCAAGGTGGGACAAGAAGGTGAGAGAGGGGGTACCCGAGGTCATGGTCATGCAGCAGGCCGTGCTGAATTCTGTGGTTTGGGAACTGTAACCCAGGTTTGTCTCCAGGAAGGCGTGCTCAGAAGCAACAGATGTGCTGTGAGGCAGGCCTTGTTGATCTGCGGAGGGAACAGAGTTAGTGGTTCCTGAGACATGTGAACACTGCCTGTTGACTGGCACAGGCCCTCTGGTGTGGTGGATTTGAACAGGATGACTGTACCCTGAACTGGACAGACTTTAGAGAAAATATTTTAACTGGAGGACATTAAATAGCTGCATCTAGTCTACTGATTCACTGAATTTAGGATTTGGGAAAAACTTTATGGGTCCTTAAGTGTAATGGTGCATTTGTTCTGTCTGAGGGATGGCCCTTTAACCTCTCCAGAAATACTGAGAGACGGCCTGTATCAGGTATGGGCAGTTCTTGAAACTGAGCCATGAAAAATGGTTCTTTATATGAAAGTTATGTGGAGTTGAGATTTTAAAGACAAGTGGACCACTTTCTCTACCTCGTTGTTCTCAAATCTCTTGTGCATATTTTTCTGTCAGGTAACATAAATCAGTCACTGATGACGCTGAGAACCTGCATGGAAGTCCTGAGAGAGAACCAAATGTATGGAACGAACAAAGTAAGCAGCAGCCTTCCCTGATCTCGCTGGCGTCCTGGGTGTGCTCTGTTGTCTGATGTGCTTGGGTCTGAATGTGCTTACAGATGGTCCCATATCGAGATTCCAAGTTAACACATCTGTTCAAGAATTACTTCGATGGGGAAGGGAAAGTGCGAATGATCGTGTGTGTGAATCCAAAGGCTGAAGATTATGAAGAGAGCTTGGTAAGTTTCATGTCACTATCCTGTAAGGTCCCTGAGTCTGTGGTGGGAAAACACCCCTGTGGAGGTGACTGGTGGCAGGATGAATGTTTTAGGGTGTGATACTGAGCCCCTGGGGTGGACAAATGAACTCATGGCCACTCTCTCTGCCTCATTTAATTATTTCTGTCTGAGTAATTAACTACTTCATTTTCTTTGCATTTTAAAGCAAGTCATGAGGTTTGCAGAAGTGACCCAAGAAGTAGAAGTGGCGAGGCCAGTAGACAAGGCAATCTGTGGACTAACACCTGGGAGGCGATTCAGAAACCACGTGCGAGGAGGCCCGGTTGGGGATGGTAAGGCTTGCTGTTGGCCTCTGCCTGCTGGTTGCTTGGTCTGTGTGTTCTTTAAAGAGGAAAAGTTTCCTGTAAGAACTGGTTATATCCTTAATATCCTTTCTTTTCAAGAACCAAGTGCAAGGCAATTTCAACCTAAAAATAAATGGAATTTCTTGCACACTGTGCTCTCAGTTTTAAGGAAATTGAATGTGACAGCTCAAGAAGCTACCTAGTTAATTGGGCTGGTGCTCGAATCACAGAGTTGAATTGACTTCCTTAAGCACCTTCTCTCTGGCCTAACTCATCACTGTTGTGTAATTCGATGCAGAACCCCCTGTCACCAACGTGGTCTTACAGAGTTTCCCACCTTTGCCGTCGTGTGAGATTTTGGACATCAATGATGAGCAGACCCTGCCAAGGCTGATCGAGGCCCTGGAGAAGCGCCATCATCTTCGGCAAATGATGATCGATGAGTTTCACAAGCAAGGTAAGGGTGTCTGTTCAGCCCCCGACGTGGGGAGGAGTGCACCACAATAAGGAGGTTCTTTGTGGTTTTCAACCCTGCGTAGTTAGCAGGACAAGGAGTTTTTCCCACAACTCTTTTTTGTACCTTAAGAAAGTAAAAAAATTTGTAATATTTCAATTTCCATGTAGGAGTGAAAGTTGCTCAGAAAAAGTAAATAGCTTGCTCAAGTCTTAACTAATCAGTGTACCAAGGATTCCAGCTCAGGTCTGAGTTGGCTTAGTCTGAAGCATCCTTGCGGTGCATCATTCCCCGGAGGCAGTGTGTTTGCTGTGTTCTCAGCGTCCACAGCCTCTGTGGGGCCTGGGAGAGGAGCTGAGGCCGCGTGGACTCGGCGCCCACAGCCTCTGTGAATGTCTGCACACTGAGGTCCAGATTCCTGGTCCCCTTCCCAACCAGTTCTCTTGGTGCTGGACTGACTCACACCGAGAGATGTGCTTAGTTGTGTTTCATGTTGGTTAATAAAAGCTGTTTCTTTGGTCGGTTATTGGAGTAAAACATGTGCTTTTCTTCCAGCCAATTCTTTTAAAGCCTTGTTACAAGAGTGTAGCACTGCTGTCTTAAATAAAGAAAACTACATTCATGGGAAACTGAACGACCAAGAGAAGGTGATCTCGGGACAGAAACTGGAGATAGAACGACTAGAGAAGAAGAACAAAACTTTAGAGTATAAGGTATGTTGGGGTGTGCTTGGGGTACACTGCTCTCTGCTTGGCTTCGAGTTGGGGCGTAGTAGGGATGCTGTGTGGCCTTCGAGTTGGGGCGTAGTAGGGATGCCATGTGGCCCAGCTAGCACTGCTCTCTGTTTGGCTTCGAGTTGGAGTGTGTGTATACCTTTAGCCTGGTAACACTGCTCTATGTTTGGTTTGTGGTCCCTGTTACTGCTGTTTAAGTGATCACTTGGTCATTGATTTATCTTCGTTTTAGCCAAAAAAGGGAATGTAAGAGACAGGCATAAACAGGAGCAAAGGGATCATAGTCGTGTTTAGTTTTATGAATTACGGTTTGGCAGCTGAAGAAAATGTTGTTGGTCACTGGCCTAAACAGTGGATCCTCCTGGAGGGCTTTTAGGGTTTAGCTGTGGTGATAGCTTGCTTTGGGGTGGGGGAAGCTTTGTTTATTAAGATGTGTTTATTTGAAGGTAAGAGAGAGCACCTGTCCACTGGGTCATTTCCATTGATGACCAGGACTTGGGCTCCACTGGGTTCACTTCCATCAACGGCCAGGACTTGGCTGAGGACGGTGCTGGGAGACAGGAACTTGGTTACTCATTGCTGCGTCGGGGTCTACACTAGTGATGAACTCGAGTCAGGATCTGGAGTCCAGATGCGAACCCAGCTTCTCTATTATGGGATGTAGGAATTTTGACCAGCTAAACCATATGCCCTCTCTTTGCTTTCTGATTTCTTATGTCTCTCTCTTTTTTCCAATTATCACATAGCATAAATGATTTTGAGAACATTTTAATGGTAGCATAGTGCCTTTGACATAGCAGATATCAGGGTACTTAGAAAGTTCATGAAAAAGTGGAATCAGTTTATTTTGGAACAAAATATTTTGAAAATCATGCTTAGTTTTTTTCATAATGCACATACTCCATGAACTCTATGAAGACCCTTCCCACGTGCTAGTTGGATCATTTCTGGTTTCTAGGTGAGACTATGAAAGAATACACGCTCAGCCTGAATCTCGTCTGGAGCAGAAGGCCGTGCTGTCAAACCAGGGGCCATCGGGAGACGTGGGGAGACGTGTCCATTGTGGAGAGGGGCTTTAGTTCAGAGGAAAGTCATTCTCACATGAAATCAGCTGTAACTTTTTCTTTGAGTGGCTTGCTTAGCAGCTTCTGTTTCTGAGAATGAAGGTAGCAATTGAGAAGTTTTAAAGGCTAATCATGCTTTATACAAGACTGTTCGTTCCACAGAAATGGAGAGAGATGTTACAGGTACACACAGCATGAGCATACTCAGTGTGAACTAACTGGTCTGCCCTTCCAGATTGAGATTTTGGAGAAGACGACTACTATCTACGAAGAGGACAAGCGCAATCTGCAGCAGGAGCTCGAGACGCAGAATCAGAAGCTCCAGCGACAATTCTCTGACAAGCGCAGGCTGGAAGCTCGGCTGCAAGGCATGGTGACAGAGACGTCGATGAAATGGCAGAAAGAATGTGTGAGTGTCGTTCATTGCTGTGCACGTCAGCCTCTGCAGTCCTGCCCTTGTGCTTGGGGTTCCTGGCGGAGCTGGAGACCTTGGCTTTTAGGAACTGTGGTGATCTGGCGTGGGTGGTCAGTTGGCACGGAGTTAGAATGGAGATTGTCATTGAAAACCTGCAGGAGCGCCGAGTGGCAGCCACACAGCTGGAGATGCAGAATAAACTCTGGGTCAAAGATGAAAAACTGAAGCAGCTGAAGGCCATTGTCACTGAACCCAAAACTGAGAGGCCGGAAAGGCCGTCACGAGAGCGTGACCGAGAAAAAGTTATCCCCAGATCCGCTTCTCCCCCTCCGGTGCCGGTGAGTCACCTCTGGTGCTGCGTGGCTTAGTGTTAGAAAACGGTCCTTCAGACTGGATGGCTTTTTGTGAGACTGAGGTTTTATGTTTTAGATTACGTATGTTTCTGAAACTTTGGGATACCTTTAAAGGTAGTGGAAACACAAGTTAGTACATCAGTTTAGTAACAGTGTGGATGCCTGCGTGTAATGTTTAGTCTTGATGTGCTAAATTGTTGATAAGTAATGAATCATGTCTCTGTTTTTCAGTCTTGCTCATTAATGTTTCTCCGATTTTTTTAGCTTTCTGGTAACTCTATTGCTCAGATCCCCAACGGCCAGCAACTCATGAGCCAGCCACAACTCCATAGGCGCTCTAACTCTTGCAGCAGCATTTCTGTAGCTTCCTGTATTTCGGAATGGGAGCAGAAAATTCCTCCGTACAACACTCCTCTCAGTGTCACATCCATTGCAAGGCGTAGGCAGCGGGAGCCAGGACAAAGTAAAACTTGTATCGTGTCAGACAGAAGGCGAGGGATGTGCTGGACCGAAGGCAGGGAGGTGGTTCCGACATTCAGGAACGAGCTAGACGTAGAAGAGGATCCTTGCTTCAGGGTCAGTGCCAGTGTGATTTCTAATGCGTTGTAGTAACAGTAGCTTTGCTCTTGTAACTTGATTCCAAATGTCCGGGGGGCAGGAGATGGAGGGGCTTCACTAACAATATGAACAAGGTCTACCCTGATGGGTTACTTGAGAAGATTGACCCACCGTGAAACTGAGGCCTCACTCACTCTTGATGTGAGAAAGCCCAGACAAGGCTGGCCACGGCAGCAGGTGCCTGTCAGGGCAGGCGCGAGCCCGTGGAGCTGTGCTTGCCAAGTCACACACACAGTCGGTGACATGGAGCGCCTTAGAACACACTCCCTTTCTCCAAATTAGAGGGTTTTTTGGTTTGTTTTTCTGATTTTGAATTCCACTTTTTCAAAGTTGAGAACTCAAAGAAAAGTTAAACATGAATGGAGTAGCTTCTTTCCCCTCCACTAGAGTTGCCAGTTGTGACTTGATGAAGCTGTGCGGTCGCTCGCTCCCTAAAGCTTCTGGAAGTAAGGCAGAGACTCTCGGACACTCACACTAGGAATGAGAATGCTGGCCCCACAACCGCAGTGCTTGTCACAGCTGAGAAAGTTGATGTTAAAAATAAATACCCTCCAGTTTCCCAAATTGTCCCCCAAATGGCTTTTCATTTTTCAGTCCATGACCCATCTCATCAAAGCAAATACCTGTCTTTTTAATCTTTTAATGTCTACCCCTGCCCCCTTCAATTTTCATGACATTGATTTTGGAAGAGTCCAGGCCAGTTGTTTTGAAACCACTGCAGGGCTGCATGGCCTACAAATTGCTTTGAGCCTTCTGTTCTTTCTTAGCTTACAAGGGCTCCACCGCATTCAAACCTAAGTAAAATAATCAAAACAAATTCACTGTCTTTCCTTTATGTAAGGATAAAGGTAAAGTTTCCTGTGAATCAGAATAAACAGACGAAGTTACCTTTAATCTTAACATAGAGCTTTAAGAAATTTTCTCTGAAACCAATGAATCTGTGGTGACTATTTGCCTTTGGTTCTCTCGCTGTGTAACTTGGGCTAGATGGGTGCCCGCCGAGGTGGCCTGCCCTCCCAGGGCATCTGCCACCAGCTCAGTTTTCACTCAAGGCTGAGCTTCTGTCTCCTTTGCACATTGTGGTGACTGGTCCTTCTGATCAACTCTAGTCAATCCCCCTATTCCATGGAACGCTCCAGGCCTGCTGGTCCCTGGTCAGCAGTACTGCAGCCCCTAATTTGGCTCTGACATATGTAAGAGGATTTGCTAGAGGTACTTTAGCTTCCACTTGAAATCAGAATCTCTTAGAAGTGCAGCAGAAAAGTTACCATAAGGTTAGTATCTGTGTGTTTGTTGGTCAAAACTTCTGTCAGGTGAACTGAATCTGTACCTCGAAGGTATTTATTCATGTCATCAATGCTGGTAGAATGGTGCACAGACTGTCATCTTGCCAAAGCTTATTTCAGAACATATTATTGTTCTGCTGCATGGTGGGTGAGGGCCAGACTTCCTTTTTCAGCATTACGTAAGCTGTGGGGATTTTCTGGCTGCCTTGAGTCTCAGCTTCTTGGTGGCTGAGGTTCGTGGTATACTGCTTTGCACTGTCACTGGGGCTTCATTTTTTCATATGATTGGATATATACAGTTCCAGAGAAACGTACATTGGAACCAAGGAGGTCATGCTTGACTAGCTTGAAGGATTGGCATGTGATCAACTTTCATTTGTCATCGGTTTTACATACTATTAACTGTCATGTATGTGAAAAAGAATTTCTTTGAAGCTGACTGTGCTACATTTAACTTTCCCAGAATCCTATGGGATTTGATTCTAAGCAACTAAGTTTTCATTGTATGATGGAGACTGATTTGATGTATTTGGGAGGAAAAAATTGAAATATTTTAGCCATTATTACATTTGGACTTTTCATTGAGTTTTGTTTTGAGATCTGGATATCTTAACTGAAAGTACTTACAAGTACTTAACATTATTTTAATCTTTGTTTTTAACATACAGCTATTCATCCTTATTTTCTTGAAAGTTTTGTACTTTGTCAGCTTTTAATTTTTTTTTTGCTTCTGCCTTTACATAAGATGTGTTTTTTTGTTTGAAGCCTTGGACATGCAGAAGGCTTTCAGTGATCTTATTGGAGATTAATTGTAGATTACAAGAAATTGTAGATCACAAAAGCAGTTTTAAATAGTGGCTTTTGATTGGAAATACAAGATGAACTGTTTTGAACTAGCACCTAAGCAAAGATAAGCGATATTATCAGAGTTTGTCGCTTCATCCTCTGTTGAAGGTATAATATCGTGGCTGGTGTTAAAAAGCTGTCTGTTGGTTTCATGTTTCAATACAAAGAGAATGTTTGAGTTACTTAAATCACCTATTTAGCTTTTGGAAATGTTTGTTTTGATACTGACATCATTTAACGAACCTGCTGCACTTCTAATGCCTGTCAATTAATTCTGGCTTATGCTTGTTTCTCGATTCCTCTTTCAACCTGATCAGAACGCACCACCAATTCGTCTCCGACACAGACGGTCACGCTCTGCGGGAGACAGATGGGTAGATCATAAGCCCGCCTCTAACGTGCAAACTGAAACAGTCATGCAGCCACATGTCCCTCATGCCATCACAGTAGCCGTTCCAAACGAAAAGGCACTAGCTAAGTGTGAGAAGTACATGCTGACCCACCAGGAACTAGCCTCCGATGGGGAGATTGAAACTAAACTAATTAAGGTAAAGTCTCACTTACACAGGAGACAAAAATATACTTTAAAAACCTTTGATGTCCCACAGGCACAAGAATGAATGGTGTCACCTTTCTGGTAGTACAAAATAGAAGCGGTTGCTTAGGTCAGGGATCCACTAAGCTGAGACTTGAACTGAAACAGCTCAGGTTCTTAGCTCGCTGAGAACTCCAGATCTGGAATGAGCTTTCATTATTGACTATTTAGTTTTGACCCCCTACTTAAGAAGTAAACCTAAATCAAGAACCCCTGCTTGTGCTCTGGAATTTCAAGGTAAAAAGCCCAAATTAAAATCTGACACAGAAAATGCCTCGGACGTAGCCCTCTGGGACTTGGCTGTCTGGAAAAGCGTTCCTTTGCTCAGAAGCAGTCACTTGACTAATCAGGAAACGAAAAGGCAAAGCTAGTTTTTCACTTCAAATTCCACCTCGAGGATACTTCTAGATTTTAACTCCTGAAGATCGTCCCTGTTTTGAATGACATTAGGAATTTCCACTAAAAGTCACCATCTACTGCTAGGAAATGTTTAGTCTGATTCATTCTATAAAGATGAGAGGACAGTCATCACCAGGGCAAAGTAGTTACACACCTGAATGTCAGACTTGGGGTCCTTTATAAGATTTTTGGGGACCAGTGAGCAGGTAACCCTGTTTCATCACCTGTAAGCTCCCAACCACGACAGCTGTTCTGACTGGATATGGAGGGGCCCCAGAGAAGGTGTGCAAAGTCCAGCCAGGTGTCTTGACCATTAGTGAAGCTTTCAAATTACAAGTGGAACAAGGACTACTTTTAAACCCCTTTGTGAATATTACTGATTATATCATATTGGGCTGTTTTTGTTCACTGGAGAATCTGCCTCCGGATCTGACTCTCAGTCCCAAGCACCATCTGGTTTGTGGGTGGGAGTTCCCATAAAGCAGTAGAATCCTGTTTCAGCCTGAATCTGCTATATGTGCATTTGTCAGTTACGTGTGTCGCAAGCCTAACAGTGCCCTTTACTCTTGGCTTTAGGGTGATGTTTTTAAGACAAGAGGTGGTGGACAATCTGTTCAGTTCACCGAGATTGAGACTTTAAAACAGGAGTCACCAAGTGGGTGAGTGTTTTTAAAGTGTTTTCTTAGCTGTTCTTTTGTGACGATCAGAATATTTTGTGAAGTAGATCACTAACTCTCCCAAGGGGTGTGCATGGGTCCTCCCTAATATCTTTCCTGTTCTTTGATGCAAAAAATAATTGCTGCATCGTGTCTTCCCTTTTTCAGTAGTCGGAAACGAAGATCATCCACAGTAGCACCTGCCCAGCCAGATGGCACAGAGTCTGAATGGACCGATGTAGAGACAAGGGTAGGGCTGAAGGCTGATATTTGCTTGACAGAAACTAGGCTTGGCACAGCTGTGGCCCCGACTGCTCTTTGAGAATGCTGGGGTAGGCCCTCCCACAGCCAGCTCGCCCAAGCAGCCTGGCCAGGGTCTTCTGCCCTCGCTTTGGGCTTGCCTGGGCTGCTTGATTCAGAGGCCATGTGTCTAGTGCAGGGGAAGGGCACAGGGATGGAGAAAGAGGATCTTGCTAGATAACCAGGCTTCCCTAGAGCCCCGAGGAATGTTCTAGCAGCTCAGGACAGGTCCCTTGTGGAGGGTTTCCTATGGAAAGCAAGGGGGAAGGTGAGAACTCCATAAGAACTCTTCCTTATGTCAAGAGAGGGTCCTGGCTGACCTTAGGGACCTTTCTAGCTCTCAGTGGGTGCAGTCTCTGCCAGGAGGAGACTGCAGGTACCTGAGCCATGTTGGAACAGAAGTGGCATGGAGTTCACCTTGGGAGAGCCGTCTGAACAGACATGGGTCACAGGCTGCCCAGAGGAGCTGACCTTTTCCTCTTCTCTTGTTTTCCTCTCAGTGTTCCGTGGCTGTGGAGATGAGAGCGGGATCGCAGCTGGGCCCTGGCTACCAGCATCATGCACAGCCCAAGTGAGTACCGTGATGGGGTCTGCCCTGTGTTCCCTCTTAGCATTCCCACTGTCAGCCATTGGCTAGTGGAAGCAAATGGAGCTGCCCTTGGAGTGCCTGGGCCTGCTGGCAGAGTGCAGCAGGTAGCTGCAGCATTGGGCCAGTCGGGCTGCAGGATCAGAGGTGATAGAAAATGGCTGCTCTGGTTCCTCATAGCACTCTGAGCACCTGCAAGGCAGCACAGCTGGCGGCTTTAGTTGAGCTGGATAGCTTTGTGTAACTTTCCTGATCTGCCATACTTTGGGCCTTAGCATAGCGTTAAGTGCTCATTAAAATAACTGAAAGTCAATGGCAGAACTTACGATAGGGATGGAATCACACTTTGCCTTTTATTAAGTGCATATGTAAGGTTTCCATAATACAGTTTTAAAAAAACACTCCTTGAAAATATATACCTATGCATTCATTTTTTAAAAAGATTTATTATTATCTGAAAGGCAGATTTACAGAGAGAAGGAGACACAGAAAGATCTGTCTGCTGGTTCACTCTGCAAATGACTGCAATGGCTAGAACTGAGCCAATTTGAAACTAGGAGCCAGGAGCTTCTTCTGGATCTCTGACGTGGGTGCAGGGTCCCAAAGCTGTCCTCTACTGCTTTGCCAGACCATAAGCAGGGAGTTGGATCAAGTAGAGCAGCCAGGACTAGAACCAGTGCCCATATGGGATGTCAGTGCCATAGGTGAATTAGGTTGGTACACCACCGTACCAGCCCCTGGTGCACTTGCATTCCCTAGGCAGTTTGCAAAACTGTTGCTGCAGGGTAAAGATGGGGGGTCCTGTTTTCTAAATGTAATACTAGATAAGCATATTTTATATGTCATTTGCTTTGTCACATTAAAAATGGAATTCTCAAAGTCACTCTAAAATTTCTTTTGTTATGAAGGGGTGGTCACCAGTTGCAACATTCAATACTAAATGCTGGGTTCTGTTTTAGACGCAAGAAGCCATGAACTGCGACAGCCCTGGGACAAGCAGAACATCCGGTGCTGGCGACTCTCCCAAGCCGCGCTGAGCAGCCTGCTGGCTCCTCCGGCCTCGGGGGACAGCACAGACCTCAGCTGTGACAGACACTGGCCTCTGGCGGAGCTTCGCCCACGATCCCAAAGATACACAGCAGGCTGCCCACCTGTAGTACGCGTGTTATGTGCCTTGTCGTATTTAATACTCATAGCAAAGGAAGACCCTGCCCCACTGCTGATGGACTTTATAATGCAAGTCTTTGTATATTGTGTTTTTATAACTAATCCCACAAGTACTTGTCTTGGTATAATTAAGGAAGAGTAATATCTAGATCCGACTTTTTTTTTATGGTGACTTCTCCAGTTCTGGTCTGAGTATTTCTTGGGTTTTATAAATGAAACAAATGCTGCTATTAATTAGCTGCAAGAGTGCACTTTAGACATATCTGACTTTTGAAATAAAGATGCCAGTGACTGGTCCATAATAAAACCATTTTCGGGAGGTGTTTTGCATTTTGTATGTATATATTCACTTTCTGACATTTAGATATGCCAAAAGAGTTGTAATAAAAGAGCAGTAAGAAACACAAACATTTGTGATGGTCATTCATTGAGTGCACACCAGCACTCTGGAGTGAGTGAAAAAAAACCACTGGGAAAATACTCCAGAAATTAACTTGATGTTATATGGGCAATACCTTTTTAGTGTTTCATAATAATTTTTTAAAGATCATTTTTTAAAGATTTATTTCAATGGAAAGGTAGATTTACAGACAGAAAGAGATAAAGATCCTCTGTCCGATGATTCACTCCCCCACGCAGCCTCATTGGCTGGAACTGAGCCAATCTGAAACCAGAAGCCAGGAGCTTCTTACAGGTCTCCCACGCGGGTGCAGGGTCCCAAGGCTTGGGGCTGTCCTCGACTGCTTTCCCAGGCCACAAGCAGGGAGCTGGATGGGAAGTGGGGCTGCCGGGATTAGAACCGGTGCCCATATGGGATCCCAGTGCTCGTGAGGTGAGGACTTAAGGCGTTAGGCCACGCCGCCGGGCCCTCACCATTGTTTTAAAAACTCATGTTGGTGCCAGGTGGCAGGGAAGGTGCTGGCACATGCGGATGCTGGCCCGAGTCCTGCCTGCCGCTCTTCCAGACCAGCTGTGGCCCGAGAGAGGGGCAGAGGATGGGCAAGTCCCAGGGACTCTGGACCTGCGTGGAGGCCCGGAGCGCGTTCCTGGCGCCTGGCTCCAGATCAGCTTCGGCCATTGCCACCATTTGAGGAGTGAAATAGGATGAACGATCTGTTTCTCCTCTAAGTCTACCTTTCCAATAAAAATCTTAAAAACAAAAAATTCTTGCATGTTTGTATGCTTGGTCCTTACACGTAAAACAAGGTCAGCTTGTCAAAATCTTAAAAATCCTCATGGAATTTTGCTGGCATTAGTCACGATTTACCCACTTTGCGATCTCATCTGTTAACACTGTTTTCCACTGAAGAGCAGTTACAGAGCGGCCGATGGCGGGAGCGTCTGGGTCCAAGGACTCGGCCACCCCTCGCTGCCCTCCGGGGGGTTGGCACAGCCGCTTGCATTGCTGTTGCGCAGCAGTTTAGTACTACTGGCTGAGTGCTTTTGTTTATATACGTGTATACAACACCCGTAATCCACGTGCGCCATCACCCTGGACGTCCTGGTTCCTTAGAACCTGCGGGTGAACACGGCGGGAACAGCTCGGCCGTTCCCGCGGGGTGCGGGACGGGGCGGCGTGGTGATGCCAGAGCACGTTTCCTTCGCTTCCAGCCTTCCGACGGAGGACGGAGCCCCTGACCGAGGAGCCGGGCCCTTCTCGGCATCCACACACTCGGTCACGTCGTTTTCGGGCTTTAAATCGCCAGCCTGAGGACCGACCTTGGGGCGCCCGTCCCTCCCGCCGGGGCCTCTGTGCGGACACGCGGACCGGGAAGCCGCGCCCGCATCCCGCGGGCCTCTCCTGCAGAGCCGGCCCCGAGCACACACAGCCGGGCGGGAGCTGCGCCCACACGCAGACCGGAGGGCAGACATGCCCCTTCCCCGCGCCCAGCACGCCCCGCGCAGCGCGCAGGCGCCATCGGCGCCTCCGTCCCGCCTTTTCCGCTCGCGGCGGGCGCCCATTGGTCTACGCCATCGTTCCCCCACTTCCGTCCCGCCTTTTCCGTTCGGGGCGGGCTCCCACAGGCCGACGCCTGTTCCTCTGTCCCGCCTCTTCCGTTCGCGACGGGCGCCTATTGGTCAGCCCTGCCGCCTGTTCACTCCTTCCAGGCTTTTCCGGTCGTGGCGGGCGTCCGTGGTCCGCGCCGTCGTCCCCCTCCGTCCCGCCTCTTCCGCTAGGGGCGCACGCCCATTGGTCCGCGCCGCCCTATAAGAAGTGGCGCGCAGGCGTGTGGGCCCCTTTCCCCAGCTGCCGCCAAGGTGCTCGGTCCTTCCGAGGGAGCTAAGGCCGCGTTGGGGTGAGGCCCTCACTTCATCCGGCGACTAGCACCGCGCCCGGCAGCGCCATGGCCTCCGTCTCCGAGCTCGCCTGCATCTACTCGGCCCTCATTCTTCACGACGACGAGGTGACCGTCACGGTGAGTCAGCGCCCCGGGCGAGCCTGGCGAGGCGGCCGGCACGTGGGTGTTCACTCGGGGCGCTGCGTTTCCTTGTAGGAGGACAAGATCAACGCCCTCATCAAGGCGGCCGGCGTCAACGTGGAGCCCTTCTGGCCCGGCTTGTTCGCCAAGGTGAGTGGCGCTGGACCGTGGGCCTGGGAGGTGATGGCCCCTGCTCGCCCCGCAGCCTGTGGGTGCTGCAGCTGAAATCGGGTCCTGAGCAGGAGATAGGGTCCCTGGAGGGACGGGGGAGGGAGAAGACGGGGTCCCTGGGCCACCTGCCACGGGGCAAGCTGCGGAGCCTAATTATAGCCCTGGGCACGGTCCCTCCTGCCTCCCCGAGGACAGAGGACGCTCTAGCCAGGTCAGCTTTACATAGCCAAGTGCTGACTTGGCTGGGCACTTTGAAAGTTGAAATTGAGATAGATCCACCGTACAGTCTCTATGTTCAGGAAGCTCGAATCTTTGTCAGATGCTAAAGCTTAGCAAACTCTGCTGTATAACTTAAATAAAGCATTGCCAGCCCCGCGTGAGAGACTCCAAGTAGGAGAGGTGACTTTCTCTTTTGGGGGGGGGGGGGAGGCTAACTGCTTTGATGCAGTAGTGTGTGTGTGTCCACGCAGAAGCCAAGCAGTGTGTCCCAGGCAGGCGGGAGGGGTCCCTCGGTGGCTTTCTCTGAGACTTGGGTGTTCTGTGCACTGCAGGCCCTGGCCAATGTCAACATCGGGAGCCTCATCTGCAACGTCGGGGCTGGTGGACCGGCTCCCGCAGCAGGTGCTGCCCCCGCGGGAGGCCCTGCGCCCGCCGCAGCTGCCGCTCCAGGTAGGAAGCCTCTGGCCCGGGATACGGGGATGGCCCTGGTCCCGCTGCGGGGCGGGTTCCCCTGTGGGGCCCAGGTGTCCCTGCTGCGAGTGACTCATCTCTGCTTCCTTTGTAGCTGAGGAGAAGAAGGTGGAGGCCAAGAAGGAAGAGTCGGAGGAATCTGACGACGACATGGGCTTCGGGCTGTTTGACTAAGTCTGTTTTTTGTCAATAAAAAAGGTTGTGCTCTTGCTGCTGGTCGGTTGAGGTGCTGTGGTGGTGGGCCGTCCTGTCCTGGTCCTGTTACGGCGGGGAGGATGGGAGCTCAGTAGGGGCCCTCTGCTGAGGCAGCAGAGGTGAAGCTGACTTGACTGGCTGGCGAGTTCTTAAGTAACTTTCTAAGTTAGAGAAACATTTGCAAAAGTGTTTTTAAGTGGTTAACAGCCTAGGGAAGACCTTCCTTTAGTTGTAGGATGCCTTACGTCAGATATGACCGTGTGCTTTTTTGTACCCAATTGGAAAAGAGGAGAATCCTGTAGGGTTGAGTGTCCTCATGGCTGTGTACAAGGCCCAGGAATACATTAGGCATGCCTGTCAGCACAGCGTGAAAAGGATGGGAAGCCAGGGGTAAGACAAGTACCAGTGCCAGGTTCCTGTGTGGCAGTGCCAGGGTGGGTGCTGTGAGGTGGGTACAGGTGTGGGCCAGCTGGACACAGGCAGTGCTGTGCTCACTGCCCACTTACTAGCTGAGGAATTGCAGAGGACATGCAGAATGAGCGTCCACCCACCCAGCTCTTGAGGCAAGCCTGGGTATGGTTAAAGTGTTAGCATAAGGCCTGAAAAGAAATGAAAGGGCTGTGCAAGCAAGAAGGCAAGTGGATTTTATGTGAGCTAGATCCCATAAGGCCAAGAGTTAGTGTCCCTGCAGCCCCGCTTGTGGCCTGGGAAAGCGGTGCAGCCCAAAGGAGGCTCCTGGCTGTGGATCAGCTTGGCTCTGGCCATAGTGGTTTGTCGAATCTTGGGTGTGGGGGAAGAGATCGAGAAGAGCCACTGTCCTGGATCAAGTGTCAGTTCGGGGAGGTGGGAGTCCCTCCCAGCTGGGGCTGCGAGGTGGCATGCAGGCACTGTGGTCTGCTGGCTCTGCAACCCTCATGCCTGGCATCCTGGTGTCCAGTCCCGGGAGGGGGCAGATGGGAGGCTGAGCCCACCTGGCTGCTCCGGCTCCGCCTTGTGCCCAGAGCTGTCCAGGGCCCACCTGGTCCTTGTCAGTGGGCATCAGTGCGGGCAGGAGGGACCGGGTGTGCTCCTGGTTGGGGCTTTAGGGCGGTGGACTAGGGGCCAGCGGGAGAGGTGAGACCGTTGGTGCCCACGAGGCTGCTTCCCTATCTCCCAAAGAAGGGGGAAGGCGGTTCTCCCCTGGCGGCCCCGCAGCCTCCCGCTCTCGGGCTGCCCAAGAGGAGTGGGTGTGTGATGGGCGAATGCCAGTCCGTTCCCCAGGGAGGAAAACTGGACGTCTGGAAACCGGCGAAACTGGCCAAATGGCGACCAAGTGTGAACTCTGTTGGTTCGGGGTGGTGAGGAACACGCAGGTGTCTCCCTGGACATCTGCCCTTCAGCTATGGTTGCAGCTCTGCAAAGCGAGCTGGGTGAGGGACAGCTCCTAGTAGGGCAGGCTGGAGGGGTGCGGCCCTCAGGGCTGCTGAGGGATTCCGTGGTGACCCCGAGGGCTGCCTGGGCTCACTGCAAAGAAAACGACTCACACACAGGACCAGAATGGAGCTCCGTGTTGGTGACCTGTGTGGGTGTGGGAGCCTGCCTAAGTACTGGGCCATCTTCTGCTTTCCCAGACACCTTGGCAGGGAGCTGGATTGGAAGTGGCACAGCTGGGACATGTACTCATGTAGAATGCCAACCTCACAGGTGGTGGATTAACTCACAGTGCCAGAGCCCTTGGTTGTTGTGTGGGCTGGCCCTTGCCTTGTTTCTTGTGCTCTCCTGCAGGGACTGTATCTCAGTGAAGGAGTTTCCTAAGCTCCTCCGTCTAGTCTCCTCCCAGTGGCAGTTCTTG